CATTGTGTCTCATTTTATGAATTTGACATTTCTCTCCGATTGGATTCGAGTTTGAAATCGTTTTCGTGTTTACTCGAGGTTAGTATTCTATGTCTCCTGATATATGTTCAAATTGAATCCGTGATTGTTTTCTGGGATCTCAATCACGTCATTGTATGAATGTCTCCACGGGATTGTTATTGGAATGTCATTATTTTGTTTGAGTGTATTTTCGGTTTATACACTCCATTTACGCGCTTTGTTGTTTGTATATTAATTTATTTTTAAATATAAATTATGAATCTCTAGGAGTGACGAAACTTTATAACATAATATGAATCGAAGTTGGATGATGAATGTCCGTCGTATTAGTGAAGAGTACGAAAAGGGAGTTGATGAATTTTTAAAATTTGCTAGTGAAAATGGAAAAGGTATTGAATAATATATGACTTTATTTCATTTAGAATCGTGTCTAGAACTAATGTTCTAAGTGGAAAACCTAGAATAAAGACTTTGCAGTTCATTTATCCTAAGGTTAAAAACTTATATAATAAGTGAATACCATAATTATTGTTTGTATTTAAATTTTGAAAATAACATTATATTTTATTCATCATTTCAGTGTAATAAGCAAACAGACTCATTTGAATGTGGTTACTATGTTATGTATTGGATGAGAGCCATAATTTGTGCGGGTATAACTGATTCTTGGACGGAGGTAATTGCTTTCAACATTAGTTAAATTTATTTAACTTTATGTGTGTTGCATGTTTACAAGAGTCAAATTAATGTTTCAGGTATTTTAAGATCCATCTCCATTGCCAGAATATAATATCACACAAATTAGAGAACAATGGGCAAGGTTTTTCGTTTAACAATTCTAGTACTTAATTTTTTAGGTTATTGTTCATATTATATTGTGTGTATTATGTAGTTTAGGTAGCTTAGTTTGTACTAACTTTTAGTTTGTAATAGATTTTAGTTTGTAGGTTATTGTTTGTATTATATTATTTTATTATGTAGTTTAAATTATATATAATATTATGTTTTTTAATTACATAACTAAAGAAACCTGAACCTCTGGACTGTCTGGTTATAATATATATTTGCAGGTTTTGGTTGTAAGATAAAATAAACCCAATTTTTTTAAAAAAACGAGCAAATTTACGTTGCGTATACCAATACGTGACGTAAATTTGCTCTAAATTTTTTTATTTTTGATACTTTTTACGTCTGTTTAGTGTAAATGCAACGTAAATTAACGTCAGGTATCGATAACTGACGTGAATTTACGTCGGGCTAAGAGTCCGACGTAAATTTACGTCTCCCATTTTAACGTCAATCTTAAATGTAACGTAAAAAACCCAAAATACATGACGTAAAAACCCTTTTTTGCACTAATGATGGATAAGAAGATTCTTCATCATTTACAATATTGAGTCAAGGAGATACATAGTAATATACACAAATTTTTCCGTATCATATTTTTACCTTTTATACCTTGTTAAACCTATTATTATGTCAATACAAAATATATAAATTTACGTCAGAGCATCTATCTAATATAAAAGAGTCAAAATTTATATCAATTATTTTTACAACATAAATATATATTTGTATGTTGAGAGAATCTCTGGCTTAATAGTTACATGGTGGGATTTATAATTATTGGTGTATTTTCTTATTTATTCCCAATTAATGATCGTGACGATGAAAGAGTAATTTCTTCTTGTTTTTTATATATATTTTTTTCTCTTTGTTGTTTATTTTTGTTCTGTTTTATCCTTCTTTGTTTTTTTAGTTTTTCTAATTATTTCTCGTGAATCTAATAAATATATTCATCAATTATTATGATTGAGATCTTCGTAAACATTAGCGATCTTCATTATTGATTTTGGGGAGACAAATAATATATTATTAATAAATATAAATAAACATAAAAGAATAAAAAAAGAAATGATGAAAGGATAAAATTATTAATATATAAATAAATAAATTAAATCATTATTAAGTTTAGAAGGGGGTAAAATCATAAATTATATAGGAGTTTGAGGGAAAAATGAGAAGGTAAAATTTAAATTATAAATATATAATTAAATATATTAAATGATTATTTAGTTTGGTAGAACAATATCATAAATTATATATGAAAGTTACAAAACTTTAAGGATTATTACTCCTATCAATTCCAAAAAAATATATAAACAATCACAATTTCAATTTTAATAAAAAATAGAGACATAGAATATGAATCTCAATCAAATAGTAAATATATCAATGTTTCAATCCAATAAAAGAGAAACATTTATAATCATCAATTAATGGGTCACATGGTAACACTTAGTGGTTGCAGCAGTAGTCATTCAACAACTCCTTTCCTATGAGCAAGATGAATCCCTTCCTAAATGAGAAATAAAACAAATTATATGTCTGATCCTTTGGGATCTTACATAAAAAGTGCACTTTATATCATGTATACCATATATGATGTAAATTTTATTTTTTACTTCATACTCCATGTGATCAAATACAAAAGAGTTGGTTTTAATTTAAAATATGTCACCGCATTTATTGTTATGTCCAATAATAATTAATCTAACGAGAAAAGATTGATGTAAAAAGTATATTTTACACTGAAATGGTTAAGTATATCACCGGAAATTAGCTAATAAATACATCATCATCTAATAATCTCGTATCGGACTAGTAGAATATATGCAAATTATTCTAAAAATACATCATAAATATATATACGATTATTTGTTTATTAAGTTAAAATATGAAAAATAAAGGAAATATTATAGAACAAATGAATAATACTTATAATTCAAAATATTATTTTGAATGAAAATATATTATATATGATAATAGGAATCAAACAATAATACAATAGATAATATTAAAAATTAGAAAAAATAAAAATACCTAAATATATTAAATTTGTACAAAATATGTAAAGAATTTTTTTTTCAATAATTTATGTAAAATCTGTAATATACTAAAAAAACTTGCAAGAAAAATATTTGAGGTAGACAACTAATAAATATCCAAACATACTAAAAATAAATCTTATATAAAAAAATTAAGAAATATCATAAATATCATATTAATAAATAAATATTTCCACAAAATATTAAAAATTAGGAAAATTATCATATCTTACAAACTTATAAAAAGAGTACCTTGAAGAGAACACACGATACAACTATAATAATTCAATCCTTTTAGTATGTTATTTTATCAGTTTTTTCTTTTATTTTCTTTTAGAAGGTAAAAAAAATAAAAAAAATAATTGTCATATCCTTCCGTTACTCAAAGAAATAAGTATCAATTACCAGCGTTGTTTGTTTATGCTTTTTACAAGAATTATTTTTCATTACTATATCTTTATCCGTCAAACCCCTAGTTATTGGTCCTTGACACTATTTATGGTTATTTAAATTATAGCCTTTTTGTTTAAAGGTTAATTTTTTCAAAAGAATCTAATAAAAAAGTTTGTAGCAGTTTCAAATTGTATGTCAATGAGGATACAAATATTTAAAACAAGAAAAAAAGTGGAATATAGATAATAGGGAAAGGGAAAAGAAAATAAATACTTATCAATTATAATAAGAAATCAAATAGTTTATTTTGTCTATTTGTTTAATTTCAATTTTAATGAGTTGATTAACAATTATATTGGGAGTGGTACTTGAGTGAAGACAACAAAATTTACAACACAGTATTAAATTTAGAAGTTCTGATAATTTTAACTTTAGTGATGTAGTTTTTCTCATCAACATCAAAAGCTGATCAAATTGTGCAATTTGCGTATAAATAAATTTGCTTAGCCTTTACCCTTTCATCAATGTCATGTGCATTCCACAAATAGCTAACATTTTGTTTTCTTCATTAAAGTCCCCGCGCATGTCTTCAAGTGTTGAGAATTTTTTAGAATATAGGAGATATTCAACCTTTTTATATTTCAACTTACAAATAATTTACATTAGAGCAAAAAATATATGTTTTATGTGAAGAATTGAGGTAACCAAGATGATACTCTTCCTCCTTACACTCATTTCTACTTATTGTTCAGTTTTTCAAAAGAGACTAACAAGAAGATATTTTTTGTTGTTATAGAAACCTTAAAAGAACTATTGTAAATGTTGAAATTTTTATGAGGAGTCTCACATGGATAATATATTTTTTATCATGATAGTCAAAATACAATTTATCTAAGCAAAAATTCGACCTCAAGATTCGTAGATAATTAACTTCTTACATTATATATACCATATTGATTCGGGTACGTAAAGTTAAAGGTTTTCGTCAGATATGGTAAATCACTGTGTTTATCATTCTGAAACAAATTGTTTCTTCAAGCACGAATTCAAGCCTTACTTGGTTATGCATAATTCATTCAAATGAATTTAAACTCGTTTCTTTCTATATGCAAAGCCTTTTCTCATTCTGTGCTTGGTTTGGAATGTATGCTTAACGTTTGTGAGAATGGAATGTATAACAACACCCAGAATAATGTACACAGGATGAAAGAAAATATTTGTTGCAGCACCTATATACATTGCATGAATTGAAAGGAAAAAACTATAAGAAGTAATTCAAATTCAATTAAAGGGTTCTACAGGCAGCAAAATCATACTCTTAGAACTGGTTTACATCCAGATGAATTCTCAATCATAGATATACTGAAGTCTCAGTTGCTGTTTCGTGCTGAACAATGTCATTGATACGGTTGTGATGCGTTTATGGTGAATCCAAAAAGATATCCTAAAACCATGCTCTGAATGTCAATTGCTACAGTAAGAAAACAGTGAATTGAATTCAGTGACAACGTTTGCTTTCTGTCAAATCAATATCATTAGATATTTTCTTAGAGAAGATATCTCACCTGAAAATGATGCAATAGTCAAGACTGATCAAAGAGACCACAATACCTACACGCACTGAAGCTAGTTGGAAATAGATGTCGTGAAAGAGACATACAAAGAAAGAAAAAGGAACAAAAAAACAGTGAGCCAGGTTTAGTTGAAGTAGCTAGGGCTTGCACTCTGATCAGATATGCTTAGAAGTTGCTCTAGATAGTCAACTCCCAAGTCCTCTAACACCACAACACTTGGTGTTGCTGCCTTTGATGTCTCTTTCCTTTTACCCTTTCTACCCTTTGATGACAATTTTCTCTTGATGCAGTGCCTCTCCTTGAGTGCAAGTGCGGGAGAAGATCCATTGCTGCAGCTATATTGGATCTCTTGCAGAGACTCTTTCACCGCTTTTACTGGAAAATTGAGTTGAGCGTTTTGGCCTCTCATGGAAAATGCGGCTTGGTCATAAGCTAACGCTGCAGCCTCTGCACTGTCAAAGGTTCCAAGCCAAACCCTTGTGCCATTCCTGGTCGTGTCTCGGATCTCTGCTGCAAATTTTCCCCAAGGCCTTTTCCTCACACCTATGTATGACTTCTCCTTATTCTGCACTTCTTCAGACTTCACCACCAATTGGTTGTGGCTTCCCTGTGTTGGTGCCGTGGAGAAATCAACCATATCGAAGCAAAGAGAATCGTGAATAGGTTCAAGAACAGAATTATTGCTTGAAAATGGTTCGAACAAAAAGTTTGAAGGGTCCTGCAACATATCCCAATCTGGTGAGTTCTGCAAGAAAGGGGAAGCCATGTTAGGAGGGTTGTAGGCAACTAAGTCTGTTTAGTTGCTTCGTCTCCCTCCCCCTAGAGACTAATAATTTATTTGGATGAAACCCCACCTTAGATTCGTAATCAACTATACATTAATTAATTTGCTTATTGCTATGTAGAGATTATAGTAATAATTTATGAGCTCTGACAGAAAGAGCCAGTCATATTGGGCAACTGCTTTCTGTCTCTTGACTAGCTTCTTCATCATCTTCTTATCATGGTTTTAATTCAGATATTGGTATTTTGGTTTTATCAAAATTAAAGGTTTTGATGATATATTGAGAAACTGTCGATCATACACATGAAATAGGGTTGAAATTCTTAAGATAACAGACTTGATCTTTGTAGAAAGAAAAGACATTAGTGGTTGGCAATTACCTGGATTTTCCACTTGTTCACTAAGCCAAATGCTGGACAATAAAAAGTGTCATTTACTATTTTCACTGTGACTTTTAATAAAAAGATAAATAAAAATTGATTAATATTATTAATCATAAGTAATTTCTTCTTATATATTATTATTATATTAATATAACATGGATGATAATAATAAAATTAATCTAAATTGAAACTAATTAAAGTATAATGGTTATATTTTTTTAGAAAAACATCATACTCAATGTAATATATTCAAAATGTTAACTTTTCTGTTAATTTAGCACATCATACAGAAGTTCATAATCATTAAAGTGGTCGTGCTTCAGAGTTATTATGAACAATTCTTTTTCTGCAACTAACTAATTCCTTCTTTTTCAAACTTTTACAAAACCCTAAATCCTAGTAATTTCTTCTTCTTAATTATAACAGAGACAACTAGCCAAGCTGATACAGAAGCAAAGTAAATCCAAGTAAATTTTATAGATGAATTAAGAAAAGACGCATACATGCAAAAATATCTGTCATCATTCTCCTGCACTCATCAGGGACTTAACCAAAATCAATGATTTATATTGAGATTGTTTTTAAAATCTTCTTCAGGCTTGATATATACGGCAATATTTGTTGACCAGAAATTTCTTTTTATGCACCATGTGCCGAAACCTGTGTTCTGAGATGGACCACGTTCAATTATTTCAAACACTAGAAGACAAAAGTATATCCCTTTTTGCAGGTACAACTGTGACCATTATATATATATATATATATATATATATATATATATCCATATATGTATATATATATTCCTTGTTTTTGGAATTGTTTTCCTTCTATATAAAGGGTTTAATAGTTTAGTAATTGTGTTTTTAGCTAGTTTATGGAATAAGTTTATTGTGTATATATCTATCATCTTAAATACTTTAATTTTCCAATAACACAATTCAAACCAATGTTTTGCTCAATAATTACAAAGGATCAACAGCGACCATTTTGAATGCATATAAAGCATTTTATTAATGGCAGCTTGAGCATTTTGAATGTATATATTCTTGTTGGAGTGCAGATAACGAGATTCGTGATTTCGAAAATTGCATATTAAATTTTAAAAATTAACCAAGTTGCATAAGAATCATTTTTCAAAGGTAAGAGTAGTTGCTTATTAACTTGAAACCTCTTGTTACGTTGTTATTTCTTTTGCTTAGGTTAATTTGTGTTCTTCATTCTTTATTCTAAAGAATTTTCTTGTGCTAATTTCATTAACATATTCAATCTCTGGACGCGTCTTTAAGTGAGCTTGGTCATTAACATAATTGTTTTGTTTATTAATTCTCTGTGCAGCATGAAGAAGATCTAGTGAACTTGGTCATGTCTTTCATTCTTTCTTTCTTTGCTTATTCAAATTAAATATTGGTGAAGCAAAATTCGTCTTGTTCTTCATCATAATATCTGGCTAGTGCCCACCATATGCATATATATCATTAAAAAATTTATTCATGGAATAATGCACACGTGAGCATTCACACGATTTTATCAGACGCATAATTTATTATTTTATTAGGGTTTCCTTAACTTAATTTAATTTGGTATAAAGCCTTTCATTAATCCCACTATTATTTTTTTTACCATTTGAATGCACTGTTTAATGGATTCCTAGCACATTCCTAGATTAATGAACACCAAAAATGGTTCCAATTTGTAAACCATTATTTATGGTCCTAATTAAAAATATTTAAAGATAATACAGATTTTATTAAAATTGTAGAAAGTAATATATGAGAAAATAGTTTATGCAGAGGTGATGATAGTGTAAGATTTTTATTTCGCTGTTATTTGATCTTAAATTGCTCTATACGTATAATTTAACTGATAACATTAAATTTATTCTAAATATTCATATAGTTTTCTAAATGTATTATTATGGGTATTATTATAATTAATTGTCAACACAAACTGGTATAATCTTAATTAAAAATGTTTTATTGCAAAAAGTATTTTAAATTAATTCTTATAAAAAATATCAAACATTATTTCTGATTTAGGTCTTATGAACGGAAGAAAGTATAAAAACCTTAACTAAATATATATGCACAGAACATGGATGTTGTAATTAAAGAGGAACAAGGGGCATGACTTATTATACAAAGAGATAAAAGCATATAATAAAATCCTTAAAACTTGTTTCATTGAGCATAATAGCATGATAACAGCATAATTTGAATCTTCGACACTTTCGATTGGAAAATTGATTACAGCATTATGGCCTCTCATGGAAATTGGAGCTTCGTCATAAGCTGACGCAGAACACCTTCTAAACTGTCGAAGGTTCCAAGCCAAACTCTTCTGTCATTCCTGGTTGTGTCTCTGATTTCTGCTCCATATTTTCTCGAAGGCCTTTTCCTCACACATATGTTTGAACTTTTCTTAATAACCCTACAAAACTGGCTTAATTTATCAAAGTCAACAAGAAAAGGGAATCATGGACACTGTGCCCAGAACATGAATGATTCCAACAAAATTTTCAATCTGTGCTGTGAAACAAAGGGAAAGTATAGTCTTAATAGGAGCCTCCTTACAAGGCAGTTTCTCATTCTGGTATTAATATTAATTCGGATTTTTAATGTAGACATCTTAATTATGAGTATATCCAAGGAAATTTATGAAAGATTCACTGCTTGAGTTTTGAAGTGATTAATAAGTTATTTAGTGGAGAATATTTATACGCAATGTTATAGTATAAATGATTTGAGCTCTTAGATGTTGTAGTATAAATTATTTTAATTTACTATTTTTTAAAATAGGTTTCAGATCCAAACGAAGACCCACGTCGCCACACCTTATACCTTCTCAGAAGTAGTAAGATAAAGTATAAATTATTTTAATTTAGAAAAAGAAAAAGAAAAGAAAATGAAATATATAATACCAATGTAGGTCGGTTGATCCATTTAGTGCGACGTTCGGCCCATTCAACATTTGGTGTACCCCACGTTTGAGTCGAAGAAATGGGAGAGGACATGTTCATCCACATGATATTTGTAAATTGAGATCATAAAACGGATTAGTACGTGTTATTTTTGTTCTTGTTTTTAGTCCATCAATATCGGGATGGAATAGATTGATTTATTATAGTTATCATGGATTATGAATCTTGATTTTCGTCATAATTTTTCTAAAATTGTAAAAATAGCAATACTTGCATAAACTAAATTCTGGAATTGTTAACCTTTTTAGACTTTTAAAAGAGTTAAAAATTGAAAGTATTTTCCAAACACAGAAAAAATGCAAGTAGAATGGTCCACTAAATCAGTAAGCCCATCAAGTTTGAATCAGATAAACAAATGTTGATCCACTTTTAAATAATAACCCAACCCAGACACAACAAAGCAATCACGAAAGGGCATTCCTGTTAACACCCTTCTGTTTGCTATTCATTCCAGTTATATTTATTTTTAATAAGCATTTTCTTAGTTTTAAAATAAACATTAAAAATGTTTACCTTTATATAAAGTTCGCGAATCAATAATACATTAAAGAAAAAACTAAATTAAAATTAAATACAGATGATAAATAACAAGTGTCAAATCCATAGCATATGTATGTCCCATAAATTGTAATAAGAAATAAACTAAATATAAAATTCAATATAACAAAAATATAAATATTTTAAATTGTTTTTTCCTATAAAAGTTTAGAGAGAAATTGAGGGGAATGAAGGAATCATTCCTTGTGTACGTTTGCAGCTTCAACGAGGAAACCCTTCATCTTCCCAACAATCTCCACCATCTGTTCCCGCGAGTGCAACGGCGCGGGGTACACGCACACGCAATCCAAGCTCCCGTCCCTCACCGTGTCGAAAACCGCCATGGAGGGTCCCACGCCGTGCACGGAGGCGCACCCCATATAGTCCTCCACCCCGATCTCGCGCTGCTTGGCGCCGTCGTTGTCCACCACCGTCTCCTCGAACACCGACATCACGGAGGTTCTCAGCGCCGCCGCCGCCGTCAAGCTAGGGTTCTCTATTGCCCTGCACATGAGGAAGTTCAAATCCGCCATGTCCGCGAAGTGCTTCTTGCACTTCTTCGACTCCGCGAACGCTTCGTACGTCCTCTTCGCTAGCTCCCATAGCCTTTCCCCTCCCTTCATCTCGTGCGTGTTCAGAATGGCAGAGTGGTAAAATCCTGAACATTGCCATGGGCTTTTTTGTCAGTGCACACATTTTTTTGTTTCAATTAATTCTTCTTTTTAAAGCTGGTTTTGTCTTCGCTCTGTCGTAGTACTTTACTCATTCTCACTATTTTAGTATACAATTGTACACCATGCTCATACTCGTTTTTTTTTTTTTTTTTCAAGCATTCATTGCATAGCATAGTGGACCATTTAACACTGGAAATATTCAATGTACTTCATCAAAGAAAACTTTAATTTCATGTCTCATCAATTACTCCAATATTTTCTCTCCCAAGAGTCCCCACAATAATAAGTATTTTGTATAATGTTATGTCACCAATGAAAATATAATAATGTACATTAACTTCACTACTATAGTAATGTATGAAAATATAATTTTTATGATATGTGTAATAGATGATGAATGAGAGAGAGATATACACAACATATTGATTATATAAATAATATTTTCATAACTTAAGAAGTATAAAAGAGATGATAAAGATTGATATTATGTTTTATTTTTACGTTATGGTTTATAAAAATAAATTTTATTTTAGCAAATGTTTCTCAAATTTAATGTTGATGTATTTATTAATTTTGGTACATTCAAAGATGAAATAAATAATAAATCTTGTCTTGTCAACCGTCCACTTACAATCAGAAACATATTAATTGATGGTCTTTTATAGTAAAAAGGTTGTAACAGCGTCGTCTCTTCTCTCACTCAAATCAAAAATAAAAACCGTGTTATATCAACCTCACTATTAATTCTTGTCAGGATCCATGAGTTCTGTGTATGTATATTCACGATGTCCGAAAAGTTCCTTGAAAAAATAATACACAACACAAGTTTTGTCTTCTCTAAATTTGAACTACATTCTCAATATTATTACCATGCTTTGTTTGGATTAGAGGGAATAGGATATTTGAAGAAGCAGAAAAAGAGAAATAGGTTAGAAAACGAGGTAATTTGGATTGAAATAAAATAAAAAATATGAGGAAAAAATTATAAAGATAAAATTGATATAATTAATTAAAATATTATTTTATTAATTTAAATAAATTTATTTATTATTTTAATATTTTTAATTAATTAAGTATTATCATTATTATTATTAAAATATAAAAAATAATATTTTATAAGAAAAATTGAGACATAACCTTTTTTTATTTTTTCTACTCGATTTTCTAACTTTGGAAATCACTATTCTCAACTGTACAAACCATGCACGCTTAAATCCAAACAACATGTAAAGAGATTTTGATACTCTCAATCAGACAATATATGTTAATTATAGTATTTATAGCAATAAAAATCATGTTTAATAGAAATTTTAATTGATTGATAATATATATAGCTCTGGTGAAGATGTTTACGAGATAATTCATAAAATTATATTTGTCTATATGTTTATATGATATGTTTTTAGTTTTTCAAATATGTTGTTGTTAGACCACATAAATTTTCAACCCTAGATAATACTAACTTTAGGATGATACAAGTGAGAGACAAATTTATAGCAGACGTTGGTAGGATCAATTGAAACTAATTGCTGAATTATCATTTGACAAAAAAGAAGATGCATCACTGATGAGAAATCTGAAGTAAAGTACACATACTTACCAAAATTATCAGTGAGGGTTGATTCAAGACTTGATCGGCAATCAGTGAGGGTGACGACCCCATACTTCTTGGAGCTTCGTTTTGAGCAATGGGTAGCCATTAACCCAGCAGCAACCAATGCCCCACACAGTTTTATCCCATTCAACTTGCAACCCTGAAAAACTCACATGATGTGTTACTCAAACACCAATCTTTCAACCATAAATTGATTGATTTTTCTAATACAGTAGTAATAATTTTTCATTAGGTTGTTTGATTCTAATTTTCGCTCGCTAACCAAGGTATTTTTTGCATACAATATCTTTGTCAAAAAGTTATCACGCATTTAATGCATTTACCATCCGTTCATTTTATTTCACCAGTCTGACCGGAACATAAATGCGTATAGGTGTGAAAACATTATTACCATGAAGTGAAAATCATATAAAAATGCTAAAAACTTTCTTATTGATTATAGATAGAACATTATTACCATGAAGTGAAAATCATATAAAAATGCTAAAAACTTTCTTATTGATTATAGATAGAAGAAGTATAATATGAAATGAAAAACATGAGATGAGTGTGAACTTACTGCAAGAACTCTCTTGGTGTCGTTTTGGTTGAGTTGCAACCTAACTGCCTGCGAAAACCTGGGGTTTTTGGTGTCATGAAACTTCAGATTGGAGAGTCTGAGAGAGTTGAGGGAGTAGGCCAGCATGTCCAGGCCGCGCGTCCATACTGCCTTCTTGCCCTGGCCGCGTGGCACGAGATCTTCAATGGCCAAACCAGGTTCCTCTTTGTGATTGCCACTGTTTTGACCAGCGCCATGCTCTTCTTCCATTTCCATGAGAGTAAGTAACTCCCTGAGAAGTAACAGCGCGGTGGTACGATCACACGCCGAGACATGGAGTCTCAGTGCTACCACCCACGTGTTGGCGTTGGGGAGGGTGTAGACGGTGCCAAAGAAGACCTGGTCGTTGGTTGAGTCGTGCCACGTGTTGCGGTTGAGTTCGAGTTCGAGGATCTGGGTGAGGGGGTCGGTGACGTTAGAAGGGAGGGTGTGGGAGGTTAGGGTGAGGGAGGGGGTGGGGGAAGTGAGGAAGGAGAATGTGTTGTTGTTGTGAACGAGTCGGGACCTGAGGATGGGGTGGGAGGTTTGGAGGGTCCGGAGGGAGGTTTGAAGACGGGGGATGTTGGGAGGCTTGGAGGTTCGGAGGACGACGACGGCGATGCCGGTGCCACCGCAGACGGCGTGGCACCAGCTGCGTTCGGTGTGGCCGACGGTTCGGGATGGTTGTTGGAGCATGGTGTTATGTATGTGAATGGGGTGGGTGTAGTGTGGATGAGTAGATGGAGAATGAAATTAAGTATTTATAATGATACTTGTTTCTTCCAAAGAAAGAAAAGAAGAAAGGACTATTAAAAAGATAGATGGATGTTTTGTTTCAACTTTAAATAAAACAAATTATTCAATAAAGATCATTTATTTTGAAACAGAACATGTCATGTACTAAAACTATGATCAATTAAATGGTTGTATGTCCTCATCTAGTTAACATTATATCATAAATTATAATTAGTTAAAATTTTGGTAGTTAAGATTAAAATTAATTTAATTCAAATAGTTTCTAAATGCATATAAAAAGTTAGTGAGGAAGTTACCCTATTCATAAATTGATAATATGGATTCTATTTTGAAGCTTTGGATAAGACTATTAAATATATAATGCGACCAAAACATCCAAATGCTTTAGAAGACTCATTTAAGGTAAGTTGTTGTTTTTAGAGATGACAACAAGTTCTAAAGGTTTTGACTTTACTATTTGATGAACAATCTTTCTTTGAAGGTGAATGCTTTAGCACTTAATTCTTATCATATAAAATTTTCAAAAAAAAATAGAAAACAAAATGAATGATATATTGGAAATGATTTATATGAATTTGTGAAAAAAAAAGCTTTCACCAAATGATGTCCTTTATTTCTCATAAAATCTTATTATATATAAGTATTCATATATATATATATATATATATATATATATATATATATATATATATATATATTCCACATGTCATCCAAGCAATATTTTGGATTTCAAGAATTTACCTTTAATTGATAACTTGAAAATTCAACTAGCTTTATTCGTTTTAATTAGACTTTATTTAAGTCTATGTTTATCTGGATGTTGTTTGTAATTTAACAAAAACAATTATAGTTTTCTTTTAACATATTTTATAATTATATAAAAAATTATATTTAAATAAATAAAACATATTTGTTTGTAAAAGAATTATAATGAGTTAATATTGATTAGGACAATATTTGACACTGTCGCACATAAATGTTCGCTCTGTCGTGACAAAAACAACTTTTGTCAAGTTACATCCGACAAAGCGTCACACCGCTTCCGTAAAACAAAATTTTATAGTTTCGTATGACAATTTAAAGAAATAATATTCCTTTGTCATCTCTTATCTATATTTTAAAAATTAACAATAATGTAAATTTTTTTTTTTAGTTTAAGTATAGCTTTAGTTCATCTGTAAAACGAATAATTGTTTACTTTCATTGTAGTAAAAAAAATATATTTTTTTAATTATGTAATAATTGAAATCAATGATTTTTGAAAAAAGGAGTTAATTTTATTTTAGTTCTTATCTACTTTTTCTTTGATTTTCATTTTTGTAAAATTTGAAATAATTGTTCAACATTTTGTTTAACACATGTTTAGTTAATGAATATAACAATACAAGAGATTAAAAATAAAGATTACAATTTAAAAGAAATAAAAATAATTTTTTTTATCATGGAAGTGGAATTATTAGAATAAAATTATTTATAATAAATAACACATTTATTATTATTCCTAAATTGTGTAAAAAGAAAAATTAAATTTCATTCATTTTACAACAGAGGATCAATTTTCCAAACTCAAACCAATGCAACACCATTCACACATTTTATAGTCTGTTTATTTAAATTATGAGTTTATTTAATAGAATTTAGAAACGAGTGAGTTTGTTTAATGTTTTTTTACACTTTATTATCATATATTTGTATTCATTTTTCTATCTCTTCTTATTTTTTTATATTTGCTTTCAATTAAATTCTTCTAATTTTATTTTCATCTAATTTATTTTCTCTCTCCACCAATTATCATTTAATTTATTTTCTCCCTCCCTACCAAACAAACAAATAATTTATTTCTCTTCTTAATTTTCAAATCACAACAATAACAATATCAACTATATACCTAAACATTTGTTAGGTGATTTTTTTTTCCAAAAATAACAAAAAAAAAAAACAGTTTGTTAATAATTTTATAATACTCAAGCATAAAAAGGAGAAGACTCAATTTTCTTTGGGAAAAAAAAAACACATAGAGAAGTGGATTAAAATATCCCTATTCTAAATTAATTATGAATTAAGAAAATTGTCACAGAAAATTGTTAGGCACTTCATTTAATTATAAATGATAAGATATATCTTCTAACCTATGTCACATCGTGTGTCGCAATTAAGAGAGAAAACAATTTTAATTATGAAAAGGATTGATTAATCATAATTAATTAAATTCACAATATAGTACCGTTGCCCTGTTAATAGATTTAGTACCACCAAAAGAAGTAAATGACTGAACTGCTTCAAGATTAAGAACATCACATCATCACCAAAAGCATTGCAATGCAACATCAACGAGTAATCAAGGTGATTAAGCACTAATTGTAAGTATTAAAGGTTTGCAAGTATAAAATTTGCATCATTGCGAGTAAAATTTTAGAACTCAATGCTTCCTTAAATCTACTTATTTCTAAGAGATTAAAACACTGTGTTCATTAAAAAAGCTGCGAGGTGATAAATTAAGTGAACTTCAAAATTCGTTATGAAATTTAAAAAAAAAAATCCGCATAATTCGTTCTTCATCATATAAAAAAGCATATTGAGTTTAACATTTTGGGTGATGGATGAATAAATTTTACTCAGTGTACATTAAAAATAGAAACAAATACTGAAAATTACAAATCCCCAACTGTCCTTTGAAAAACAGTATCCATAGTTATGATTTTAGTTATTGATGGAATGGGGAAACCTTTGAGAGCATGATGATGGTTGGATAAAATGTGGAAATTGGTTATATATGAACTCTCATATTCTTTATTATGAACTTCTACACTGAAACGTGAGATATCAGTTGAGAATGAAGAAACCATGTGCTTCTCATTTACTGTGAGATTTTGGTGGACCGTGTCCCAACGCCCCCATGCACTTACATTAAATTCCACGCGTGTTTCATAGTATTTTAAGGTAAACATTTGACCTTTGAGGTGCATGTGTTTTGGCCCTAGCTCACTGTTTGTGAACAGTGACATACGAATCAGCCATAGATTCATTCATAGTTAGCTTGGGATATCAAACATGCATCCATGCATGAAATTGGAACAGTTGAAGGTTTGTTGTTAGTATTCAATGCCATGTGCCAATGGAATATGAATATCTTAGTCGTAGGGAAAGTAAGTGTAAGAAATTAAGTGAAATGAATTATGCAGTGCGATATCCATTATTTTTCCATTAATATTGAAGTTCTACCTTTATAATCTACATGGAATAAGTTATTTCTTATAGTTTGTATAAGTAGAGAGGATCATAGGCATAGTTATTACTACATAGGCATGAATCTGATGTACACTACCATTTCAATCAATCATAAATGCAAGAAAGGTGGCAAAAGAAAGGAAAATAGGGAAGCTTCCATCAATTTCATTTCTTTGGAAACCTATCTATTAGAGAAAGAAATAAACCAGGGGTTTCACAATACCTCTATTCCTCAAATAACTCACCAGGATTATTCCTGTCAAAGTTGTAGTTTAGCATCAACTGTTAATAATTCTCTTTTATATAATTGAGTTTGACCATCTGTGGAAAAAGTGTTTGAAAAATTAATCTTAGCTTGTTTGTAGTATATGGTTATCAATTGAGATTTGTATCCATGGATTCAACCTCAACATTGATCTGTGTTGAATATTTTTAAAAGATTAACACTGTCTTATTCTCACTAATAAAATATAAATTAGTTATATAAAAAATATATGATATTATTTTCAACTTATGACAGTTGGTTTTTCTATTATTAAAAATAATGACACATTAACATGGCATATAAAACAAAATAGATTACACATATCAGAACATATTATAGATCAGTAATTACTCTTAACATATAAATCAAACACTAACTATATTGCACATATAATTCTAAGTCAACAAATATTCTTAGTTATCCTAATTACTTTTTTTTTAGTATATACTGGGTTTGGAAAATATATTTTTCATAAATCATACTTAACATATAAAATAAAAATATAATAAAATATTAAATATTTATAATTCCTCAATTTTAAATCAAAGTAATAATCTAATATATTTTTTCTTTGTTTCAAATAATATTTTAGACGCTTCACTTATATTCAACACTCCAACCATAATTAAGTTGAGTCTAGACAATATCTTTGCACAGAACAGTTTAATAGATGAAAAAGATTCCAATGCATAAATGATATAATGTACATACACATATACATATATTAATATTAAAAATATTTATATTTTGAATTAAACATTATTAATTTTTTTATAAAAGATTGTATTTTTAATTAGTTTTTATTTTATATTTCTATGTTTTATTACTAAGAAGATAATGCTATTTTTTACATGAATATTTTACTCCTTTTCTAGTTTTTATTAAAAACCAATTATATTCATTTATCTTTCTAAATAAAATATGTTAATGACAACTTTTTAATAATATATTTTATTATTTATTAATTTAAGAGTATAGGAAATTGCATTTACATGATTTTTATTGTCTGTATTTCAGATAATTGAAAAAAAAAATTCCTACGACATTTTTTCAGTTTATAATTTTTTTTCGTGGTTTTTTTTTTAGTTTTAAGTGCATATATATGAAATTAGGAAAATAAAATAGATATAAGATGTGATTGTTAATTTGTCAAAGTTTGATTTTAGTACGTAAGTATTATTAATTTTAAAACATATTTTTTTTATTCTTGTTATAAGATATATTGAATAATATATATTTATTAAGATTTGATAAATGATATGAAACAAACTTCTGAAAAATTTAGAATTAATTTAAATGTAAATGTTATTAAATATAAGAAATTATAGATTAATAATTATATATATTTTTATAAATCATTCTCATAAATAATATATTTTTTTAAAATTTATAAATATATGTAAGTTTATTTATCTAATTATATATTTATTATTTATACATACAAATAAATATAATATAATATAATATAATATAATATAATTACTTATTTATTTATTTATTTTCATTCTCGTCATTCTTATTTTCTTGTAGTGATTATTTTATTTTATTTTTCTTTCATTTTTTTCTCTTATTTAATCTTATTCTTCTAATTAAAAATACTAAATTAAAATATAATAAAATAATATTTTTATTATTTATAAAATATAAAAATATTTAAATTATTCAAAAATATTATAATTTAATATATTATATTTAAAAAATATATTATATAATAAATTTAAGATATTACAAGTATTTTTATTATGTTATAATTATCAATAAAAAATTAAAATATATTTCAAGTAAATCTTTTAATAAATATTTTTTAAAAATTACCTAGTCTAACTAATCTTTGCAACTCAAGCTAATTATTACTAGATTAAATTATTAAATAAAAATATATATTTAATTCATAATTATTTGATATTATTATTAATTAGATGAGTAATTGATTTATTATTATAAAATAACTTTAAATTAATTATTTATGAAAATAAAGTTATTTATATCATAATAAGTAAAATTATTTATTATCATTATAATTTTAAATAATTGCTTGATATTTTATTACTTTTAAGGTTGATTTTAAAAAAATTATTTTAACATGTTTTTGTTAAATTTTAATATAATAAATCTAAGAAAGATAAAATAAAAAAGAAAAGAATAAAAAAAATTACGAATGGAAGAAAAAAATCGCTTTAACATTAAATAGATTTACTTATATAGATAAATTGATGAAAATTGTATTTAAAAAATAATCTTTTAAAATATATTTTTTATAAATCAATTACAGAGAGCATTTTCGTTTTTGGAAATAATATAAAAAGTTGATATATTTAGATTATAATACATTCTTTTTATTGATTATTCTTTAATTGGTTCAAATAAAATTATTTGATTTTCATAATTTTAAAATATTTTTGTTACATAACAATGTTAACTTCGTCATTAGTATATGTCGAAGCTTATTGGTCAGATCATACATAACATGACTCTTTAGGACCCGTATAATAATTTCTTATAATATATGTGTTTTATATAACTTGGCTATAAAAAGCATATATTCTTTTTTAAATATTTTATTACTATTTCTTTTTATATCGTTAATTTACTACAGAATATATTAATGAGACACTTGCAAAACCTTTGATACTCACCTTTTTAGTTTGTGATTCTTTTGTTTAATTGGTACTAAGGAAAAAACAACCTTTAAACCGGCATTACTCGATGGGAGTGGAGTCCTGTATTGATCTGTTGTTAAGATGCAGAAACGTATTCCATATTAGACAAGTTCATGCCCTTATGGTAGTCAACGGAACATTCCAAGACTTGGTTGTTGCAAACAAGCTCCTTCACATCTATTGCCAACACAAGGCCATTGATGATGCATATTCTCTGTTTGATAGAATGACTGTGAGAGACCCCAAAACTTGGAGTGTCATGGTTGGTGGGTTTGCCAAAGTTGGAGACCATGAAGGTTGTTATGCCATCTTCAGGGAGTTTCTGAGATGTGGTGTTACACCTGATAACTACACATTACCTTTTGTTATAAGAACTTGCAGAGACATAAAGGACCTTCAAATGGGTCGTGTGATCCATGACGTGGTTTTGAAACACGGGTTGCTTTTGGATGATTTTGTTTGTGCCTCCCTTGTGGACATGTATGCCAAGTGCATGGTGGTGGAGGATGCTCAGCGATTGTTTGAGAGAATGCTCAGTAAGGATCTTGTGACTTGGACAGTGATGATTAGTGCGTATGCTGATTGCAATGCCTACGAGTCATTGGTCTTGTTTGATCGGATGAGAGAAGAAGGTGTTGTTCCCGATAAGGTCGCTATGGTGACTGTTGTCAATGCCTGTGCCAAACTGGGGGCTATGCACAGGGCTAGGTTTGTTAATGAATACATTGTGAGAAATGGTTTCTCCTTGGATGTGATACTGGGGACTGCAATGATTGATATGTATGCAAAGTGTGGGAACATTGATTCTGCAAGAGAGGTTTTTGATAGGATGAAAGAAAAAAATGTTATTTCATGGAGTGCCATGATTGCTGCATATGGTTATCATGGGAGAGGGAAGGAAGCCATTGATTTATTTCATATGATGTTGAGTTGTGGCATATTGCCGAATAGGGTCACCTTTGTCTCCCTCTTATATGCTTGTAGTCATGCAGGATTGATTGAAGAGGGTCTTCTGTGTTTCAATTCGATGTGGGAAGAACATGCTGTTAGACCTGATGTCAAACATTATACCTGTATGGTTGATCTTCTGGGCCGTGCTGGGAGGCTAGATGAGGCTTTAAGATTGATTGAGACAATTACAGTTGAAAAAGATGAAAGGCTGTGGAGTGCTTTTCTTGGGGCATGTAGAATTCATGGGAACATGGAGTTGGCAGAAAAGGCAGCAAATTCTCTACTTGAGCTACAGCCACAAAATCCAGGGCACTATGTGTTACTGTCCAATATTTATGCAAAAGCTGGTAAGTGGGAAAATGTGGCAAAATTTAGGGATATGATGACCCAAAGGAAGCTGAAAAAACTTCCCGGATGGACATGGATTGAAGTGGATAACAAAACCTATCAGTTTAGTGTTGGAGATAGATCTCACCCTCAATCAAAGAAGATCTATGAAATGTTGATGAGTTTGATCAAAAAGTTGGAGATGGCTGGATATGTACCTGATACAGATTTTGTGTTGCAAGATGTTGAGGAGGAAGTTAAGCAAGAAATGTTGTACATTCATAGTGAAAAGTTGGCTATTGCATTCGGCCTAATTGCTATCCCTGAGGGTGAACCCATTAGGATCTCAAAAAATTTGAGGGTCTGCGGTGATTGTCACACATTCAGTAAGATGGTTTCAGCTATTATGAGAAGGTCCATAATTGTTAGGGATGCAAATCGCTTTCACCATTTTAGTAATGGGACTTGTTCATGTGGGGACTATTGGTAGCGTGATGATGGAGTACATGTCAGTTTTCTGAGTCCAACTAAAATACTAATATACTTACCAAGTAAAAAAAAAAAGTGGTAATTTTGAAATGTAACTGTAGACTACAACAGATGGGTAAATGGTATGTTTAGAATCCATATTGGTATTTAGCTAGTATAGATTTTTTTTGTACAATATACTCCTCTTTTTTGCCTGTTCTCAGTTAATTGCTGCTTATTCCTTAACTTTTATACATTGATAATTTAAATTTAGTGTAACTGTGTTTTTTTATAGACTTTTATGTGAGGAGAGATTGGCATTTTGGAACATAGTTGAACTGTGGAAGTAAGAAGTTGAGGAAGTAGTTCTTAAATATTAATCTCCACTTTCCAAAACTTTAATATTAATCTTTGTTGGGTATTTTTTAAAAGACTAAACAATATAGACAAATTCTCACCAAAGCATTGAATTAATGATATAAAAGAAAATTAACGATATAAAAGAAAACATGATATCTTTTTAATTCAAAATTTTAATACATTAGTTTACGAGTCTTCCATATTTATAATTTATTCAATTTTAACTAATTTAAATTCTTAAACATTTTAATTCTGAAGTTATTGATTGCATTTGATGTGCTAATTGCACCTGCAAAGAACTGAAATGGGAAATTTTTATTCATGTTATGCTAATGCAAAATCCATTTTTGTCATATGTTAAATCTACCTTTCTTTGTTGTAGATAGGTATCAATCCATGATATTAAGCAAACCACGCGAAGGTAAATAAATTTTCAAATCTTAGACTTATATGAAATTTACTTTTTAATTTTAATTTACGTACAAGACTGAAAAGTATGGGCTTAGTTCAGCATTGAGGTAAGGGCCCAAGATCCATAAGTTAACGGGCCGAATTATCCATCTATCCCAAGACTCGATAACAAAGTCATTAATGGATAATATCAACACAGGAAGATATTTAGTTCCTATATTTTTAAAGGGCAATAATATTAATAACTAATTTTATTTTATAAAAATTCTCTTCATCATTAGTTAGATAACGCTTACAATATTTTAGTAATAATATCTATTTTCTTTAAATTTTTTTCTCAATTCGATATTTTCTTCTTGCTTAATGTACTCAGTTTCTCCTTCTCTCAACTCGTTCATATCTTTGTAGTGGTTGTCGTGGAGATATTAATTATTTAGGAGTTTTAATGACTTAATTAAACATAAAATTGGATATATAATTAGTGTTTGTTTCTGCCAAAATGTTAGTTATGAAAGTGCAGTCCTGTTAAAGATAGAAGAAAAGTTATATATGCCAAACATTATGGAAGCCATAAATGAGTGTTTGTTGCAGACATTGTTAATGAAAAAACTGTCACCGACTATTAATGTTTCATTTCCTCTTGGGTGAAGTTTAGAAACAACTTAACATCAAACCTACGCAATTTCTACCAGATCGCATGTGAGTTGCATCCACCTCCACGTGCTACCTGCGAACATAGATTCCACGAATGACAAAAGGAATCTTTAGTGACTGAAAATTCTGCGTAATCAAACTTCATGTTTAGTCATTCCAAGCTTAACTAAATGTTTATGTTTTTTATTAAATAAAGTTTGTCAACGAAGCTTTCGACAAAGTAAGTTAAAATAGCTTCTTTTTTATTTAGAAAATTTTCATACATTTTATTGAAAGTAAGTTAAAGTTTGAATTCAAATGTAAGACACAGATCAAAGTATACTCAAATGAATTTAAATAGTTTTGAAACAAGGCGCATATACCAAACATTATAACTCAGAAATATTTAGTTTTTATATAAACATATCCATTCACATGTGTGTACGTGACATAGGCACATAGTTAAGATGCATGCGTAGAAAAGTTGAAATGAATTAGAATGGAGCCACCAGAAGTGATTGGATGCAAGATAAATATGTCCAAGTAAGAATGTGTGGATATATATTTTTTTATATCCATTTTACTAATAATTACATCATGTTATAAAAGTTGTCTTTATAATAGGATTTTCATTTTTAATTTACTTTCAAAACTTACAATTTATTATCATTATCATTTTATTTACTTTTTGAACAACTAGTATCATTCACGCGTGAACCTTTAATCTATTTTGTACTCATTTTTCATTTACTTCTTTTTATATATGTAATAATTATAATTTAATTCAAAATATTATGCTAAATAAAATTTCTCGCTAATCTAATTTATTTATTTAATAATCACTTTGATTTGAAGAATAACCTATATTTAAATCATACAAAATGGTAATAATTATAATTTAATTCAAAATATATTATGCTAAATAAAATTTCTCGCTAATATAATTTATTTCTTTAATAATCACTTTGATTTGAAGAATAACTTAACATGTATTTAAATCATACAAAATGATAATAAAGAATAACTTTTGGCCTATGACAATATCTGAAAAGATGTTAGATTTTAGATCTGATACCATGTTAGGTTCTAATATAAAATCAATTAGCGATATATGAAATAACTTAGTATGTATTTAAATTATATCAAATAACACGAGGTAAGCGATATGAGACTTTAAACAAATTGAGTTGGAAGTGTAAGTGTTAAACTAAAAGAAAGTAGTTGTTAGAAAGAAGTAAAGTGGAAGAAAAGTGATGTTTGTGGGATGCATGTGATGAGAAAGCAAAGAATGGTTGTTTATTTGTGGGTTGAAAATTAACAGTTTGACAGCACGCATGCACGTTGGTTAATGGTAAAAAGATGAACTGTAGTGGGGGCACCGTCACACACCACATTCACTGCTATCCCACTTCCTCCGTGGTGTGGACAAATAGATGAAAAAGGAATGCAGAAATTCCTCCAACAACAAACACAAGTAACTCAGTTTTACCACAAAACGGTTTACTCCTCCATCGGATCAAATCGATATGATCGCATCATGTCATATCTTCACCAATTGCTTCAAACTTTAACATACTATTTCCTCTTTACCCTAGCAGTTTATATGTAACGTGATGTTTAATCGAAAATATTTAACACTAAACAGATTATATATAGACACAAAGTTAACTTCCTAGAAATCTTTTCAGCGACACACCAATTACAGGACCTAAGTAATTTCCAGTTACAACTCATATTTTGAATTTTAATGTTCTTTATATTAAATATTTTTACATTTTTAAAATTTTGAAAAAAAATTAAAAATTTTTTATTATACAAAATAAATAATACACAACATCAAATCTTATGTATAAGTAAAATTATCTTTAATTTTTAAAACAATCTGCATAAATTTTTATTTCTTCTTTGGTATATATGTTGTTTATCATCATCATTGATGGCTATTAATTAAGTAATCATTTTAATAGATGAGTTTGGCTAATAAATGTAATTTTCCCCGCCCCCCCTAAATAAGTTACTATTTCTAAATTAAATTATTTTTCTCGTCTTGGTCTCCCATAAAATTTTATTTATGTTTTGATGCTTGGGATAATTTTATAATATGTTTTAAACTACGAAACGATTTTATCACATATTTTTTTAATCACTTTTTAGAAGAAAAATTAATCAATATGATGTAAATAGTGTCGTTTTCCTTTAGTTAAGATTAAAAAAAAATATTTATTCTTTTTCATCTTTCATATTTGAGAGTAAAACTTAGAGAGGATGAAGATGGATATGTATAAGGTTTTCTTTAAGATTTTTCATTTTTGGGTTTCACTCTTGAATAAGGAAGATTGAAATAAAAGGAATAAGTAAATTCTAATGGAAGGAAAATAACGATTTATGTGATTTAGTTTTATTTTTTAGTTTTTAAAAAGTTTAAAGATTACTTTTAATTTTTTTAAAATAATTTTAAAAAATGGTTTGATATATTTATTTTTGAAAACTATTTTAAATTACATAGAATAATATAAATGAAAAATAATTTTATAATAATAAAAATGATGTCATTTGAAGTTGTTTATTTAAAAAAGAACTAATTAAGATTACTACACTTTTTAATGTGACCATCATTATCATCATTTTGTTTTAAAATTAACATGCATTAATTATATTACAGCATTAAGTATTTGTGAATTAATGTAATTTTACTATTTAAATAGATTGTTATAATTAAAATAATGGCTTTTAAAAATTGGATCACGTACTCGGTAACATTGTTCAAAAACACAAATAAAATAACTCACAATTTAAAAGAAAATATATTAAAAAAAATAATAAATGAATATTACATAGTTTACTTCTTAAATCTGATTTCGGTGTGCCATGAGATTTTAGCTTGAGGTAATTTATCTGATGTAAATTACAATAAACAATAATTAATATTTCACTGAAATTAAGAACACAGTCAATTAAAAAAATTAAAAATTAAAACTATAATTTTAAAAAACTAATACTGCAATCAATTAAAAATGAAAAATCAACCCGACTTCGTCTGTAACGTATTCCATTTTATTTTTTGATCTGAAACTCAATTTAAATCCATTGTTGAATATAAAATGTAAACTTGAGTTTCTGAAACCAAATAAATTTTAATTCTAATGATTCCAAATGAAAGTATGAACGTGTTTACATGGCCTAATTTTATCTACCTTTACCTTTTTCACTCTATAAATAACAGCAATTGGTACCTTGTCCCTTCACAATCTCCCTTGGTTCATTGAAATGGGTCTCCCAATTCGTGTCACCATTATTGTAATTTGCTCTCTCTGTATCATATGTAACAATGGCGTTGAAGCGTTTCATAGCATATACCCAGGTCTTCAATCCATTTCAGCACGTTCTGTGAGTAAACTTCACAGAACTGCATACCATTTCCAACCTCGTAGGAACTGGATCAACGGTAATTAACCTTTACTGTTTCTTACGCATGCACTTTTTCCCTCTACCTTCTATTCATTTTCCTCACCCATTCTTAATCTCTCTCTACCCTATACGGCTACCAAAATAAGCTTCTTTAGTTATTGGAACATACTATATAAAAAAAAAATACAATATTTTATTTTAATAAGTTAATTCAAGTTGAGAAATTTAGTCATCCTGTTAATAACGTCAACATTTTATTATTCGAATTAGTGTTCGGTTCAAGTTCTAAACTCCGACCAAATTTCACGTGACATATTGAAAAATTTATCAGATGGCCTTCACCTTACAATTTGATTCGACGTTTTGTTGGATTAGAGGCGTAAGAGTATTTCAGAAACTTAGAAACACAGATTATTGTACTAAAAATATGAACCTAATCTATCTTGTGTTTTAGTGGCTTCTGCATGACCTTCTAGCTAGTTGATTCTGCAATCATGCAAGCGGGACTCTTTTCTAGGGCACAATCACAATCACATGCATCAAGCTCTAACTTGTGTTTTAGTGCGGTGTAGCGTGTAGATTTGAGTATCTGGGGACACTCTGCTCTGTGTTTTACATGGAATAGTTTTTAGTGGCATAGAATCTCAGACTTTGTTGGAAAAACGAAGATAGTGACTTTGAAATGGTGTTATGCTTTTTTGCACCTACTTAGTTGCTTGAATATATTTGTGCCAAAACTGAAAATAAAGACGAAGAAGTAAGGGTTACCTTTTTAATTACAAAGATGCATGGCATTGATTAGGAAGAGAATGGTTATATATATTGCACGCATTTAGTGCACATATATCATCACCTCTTTCTATCTTTTACATTTTTCTGAAATCAACTTCTCACCATCATGAACCCCTGTAACAGTAAGTTATTATGAGAGTGACCTATGTTCCAAAAAGGAGAATATTTACACAATCATTTTATACATATTTTTATTACACGAATTAACGAAATAAAAACTATTTTTAACTAATTGAAGAACAGTGTAAATAATACTCAAAAACCTGTATATAACTTTTGACTTTCTAAGGAGTGGCCTATCCCATCTTATTTCCTGTCAAGTTGCTGGAACCTTCTTGTTTAGCCTCCACGTTGTCGAAGTTCTTGTGATGGACCACTAACTCAAAGAGATGAAAGACTCGTTTTCATTGACATGGAAAATAACAGCATGTGTCCGAAAGTTTCATAGCTTGTTTCACGAACATATATATTTGCCATTTTAAATCTTACCTCATTCTTACCATTTAGGTTTACAAACTGGTTTGCTATGTTGTCATGTTGATGAAATTGGATACAAACTAACATGCTGATATATATTAGACTACTCAGAGCACATGCAGATGCAGTGTCTTATGTCAGTGAAAAACGTATCCTGGTTCACAGTTTATTCTCCTCTAACATAAATGTTTTCTTATTAATTACTTACAAAAATATAAACTAGTTATTCTACTATTGTTATTTTTCACTACATAAAATAAATAGTCTCGTATCAGTTATTTACATCTTGTCTTTATATATATTATAGTTAAACTAAATCAAATTCGCAAATACATTATCACTTCAAATATAAAATAATATACTTTCAAAAAGAAATATAAATCCAATTGATAATTATAGCTCGCTTTCTCTCTGCAATTCTCACTTTACGACTCAGTCTTCATTTCTATTAAAATTCACACAAATATTTTCCTTCATGGTGGAGTGCTGATATATATTCTTTGCTTTCTGACTCTTTCATGGTGTCCGATCGGTTGAATATGCATCTCTCAATCTTCGCCACATGCAGATCCAAATGGTGAGTACTTCTCCCTTCACTTTCATTCTTCTTCCTTCCTCTATTGTATTTCAATCTTTGATCAATATTCATTGAGTTATATATTATTTATGAAAAAATTTAGATACAGTTTCTAACACACTTCTTTAATACATTATTTTTATTAGTTTGAAATTATCAAAATTTACAAAATTGTAGATATACTTTATTAAACATGTAAGATTTATACAATTTTATAATCTTTAATAAACTTTATAGAACAATTAAAAAGAATGTGTTAAATAATATTATTTCTCTATTTCTTAATATATATATATATATATATATATATATATATTATCAAGGTTTAACAACATAAAAAAAGAAGATAAATATTCATTTTTATTATTTTTAATATATTTATTAATATTTTTTAATAGTATCTTTATTATTGTTGTCCAAAATTACTCCTAATAAATTGTTACTTTTTCTTTATACAATAATATAATATAAATTTTAAACTTTATAAATAATATATATTTAAAAAAGACAGTTAAAAGAATTAGCTAACATTTCTTTCTATACAATATAACTATTTTTTCTATCATTTTTCTTTTGGCATCAACCATTTATACTTTATTTTCTCACTATGTTTCCATTATTGTACAATTTTTTATATCAAGAAATTATGCAAAGTTTACTAATTATATGACATTATTTTAAAATTTCTTTATCTCTTTATAACTTTTTTTTCCGATGGTCCATTTCATTAATTATCTTTACCAAAATATCCTTAATCGTTTTCTAATGGTGTCTTTCTCTCTTTTATCAAGATTAGTAAATTGAAGAATTCAGTTTTCAAAATTAAAACTTTATTACTATTATTATGTCTTCGTACATTAACTATGAAAGATAATGTTAGAAGAATATTGTAATTATAAAAAAATTTAATGCCATTAGCTAAATTAAGCTATGGATGTGTTGAATTTAGGATAAAGGAAGTATAATTTGTAATAATCATCCATGTCTCATGCAATAAAAACCCGCTTCAACACCAAAATCACAGGTCCCATGTACTACAATGGAGTCTATCATCTCTTTTACCAATACAACCCAAAAGGAGCAGTTTGGGGTAACATCATTTGGGGCCACGCAGTGTCAAAGGATCTCATCAATTGGAAAGAACTTGAACCCGCTTTATACCCGTCCAACCCGTTTGACAAATACGGGTGCTGGTCCGGGTCAGCCACCATTCTGCCGGCGGGTAAAGGACCGGTCATCCTTTACACCGGAGTCATAGACAAGCACAACAATGAGGTCCAATTATACGCCATACCCGAAAACAAATCCGACCCGTTTCTAAGAAAATGGATAAAGCCCAAAACGTTTAACCCGATCATTGTAGCTGAACACGCCATGAATGCCAGCGTTTTCCGCGATCCCACCACTGCATGGTGGACTAGGGATGGACATTGGAGGATTCTGATTGGTGGGAGCAGGAAAAATAGAGGGATGGCTTATACATACAGGAGCAAGGATTTTGTGAAGTGGCTCCGGGTCAAGCACCCGATCCATTCGGTGGCGTCCACGGGCACGTGGGAGTGCCCTGATTTTTACCCGGTTTCTTTGAAGGGGAAAAACGGGTTAGACATATCCACGGTTGGGAATAGTATTAAGCATGTTCTTAAGAACAGTCTTGACAAAACTAGGTTTGAGTACTATACAATTGGAACCTATTTCTGGAATAAGGATAAGTATATCCCTGATAACACTTCAGAGGATGGTTGGGGTGGTCTTAGATATGATTATGGAAACTTTTATGCTTCCAAATCATTCTTTGACCCAAGCAAGAATAGAAGGGTTTTGTGGGCATGGGCAAATGAATCGGATTCCAAGGAAGATGATGTTAAGAAAGGATGGGCAGGAATTCAGGTCAGTTAGATATAGTTTAATTTGATCTTCATTACAACTTTTTCTTTCTAAGTTTTCTTATGCCATGTGTTTTTGAAACTTTTCAGTCAATTCCAAGAACTGTGTGGCTTGATTCTGATGGGAGACAATTGGTGCAATGGCCTGTCGAAGAATTAAACAGTCTTAGAGAGAAAGAAGTTAAACTAAGCAAGCACAAGCTGAAGAAGGGAGATTATGTTAAAGTCAAAGGGATTACTGCAGCTCAGGTCATATAATTGAGTTTAATTTTCCTGAACTGTGAGCATGAATAGGATACTGATGATTTTTATGTTGTAGGCTGATGTGGAAGTTACCTTCTCGTTCTCAAGCTTGGAGAAGGCAGAAGCATTTGATTCAAGGTGGGTGAATCCAGAGGATATATGTGCAGAAAAGGGTTCAAAGGATGAAGGAGGGGTTGGACCATTTGGGCTTTTGACATTGGCTTCAGAAAAGTTGGAAGAGTTCACTCCTGTGTTCTTCAGAATTTTCAAAGCTCCACACAAGCATGTGATTCTCATGTGCTCTGATGCAAGAAGGTAATTGTAATCCAATTTGGCTTCTCAAAAGTGTGTGCATATGTTTGCTGATTAACTTCATTTTGCTCTTCTTCACAGTTCCTCCTTGAAGAGAGAATTGTACAAGCCATCATTTGCAGGCTTTGTGGATGTGGATTTATCCAACAATAAGAGACTCTCTCTCAGAACTTTGGTACGTGCTATGTTGAGCTAATTATTACTTTTAAGCTTCACATTTTCTTTTCATATCAGTAGCACTAAATGGATTATAGGAAAAAAACTGTATAAGTGTTTGTTTGTTTATGAATTAAAGAACATTGTACTCACATTTCATGATGGTTTTAGTGCTGAAAAGTAAATATTCATGCACCAAGTGCAAGCATGCTATATGATTAATTTTCCTTTTTGTATATATTTATTTTCTCTGACAGATTGATCACTCTGTGGTGGAAAGTTTTGGTGCTGGAGGGAAAACAAACATCTTATCTAGGGTTTATCCAACACTAGCAATAAAGAAAAAGGCTCACCTCTTTGTGTTCAACAATGGCACTGAACATATCACTCTGGAAAACCTGAAAGCATGGAACATGAAGTCTGCTCGTCGAAATTAATTATCAGCTACAAATTTAGTACAAATAAATGAATAAAATATCACCTCCTTTCTTCTATTCTACAAAAAAGATATCTAACTTTTACACTTCTTTCCATGGTGTTGTTTCTGCACATGCAGCAATACTATATCTATACTGGTTTTAATTTTATGTCAATGAAGTTTTAATGTATGACTTATTAATTTTAATAGTATATTCTATAAAAGTGCAATTACAACATTTGGATCTGATTAATTTGGTTTTTGGATTGGTCTTCAGAAATAATTTTACTTATACTTGGTAATATACAATGTATCAAAGGATCTCACATTTATGCTTTGAAGAAAAAAAAAGTGAGAAAAAGAATAGAAAAGAGAATTATTTACATTAAGAGAAAATAGTAGAAATAAGTGAAAAATAAAATAAATTATTATTAATAAATTTATTTATATAACCTAATAATTGTAAATAACGTCATAATCAAATATGTTTAAAAAAATAAACTTTTTTTCGTTTTTTTCATATAAAAATCTTTTAATTTTTACAATTTTATACATTGGAATACGTAAAATTTATGCATTTCCGCATCTTTCAAACACTTAAAATAAGTTTATTTTTAAAGATGTAATAAGAAAATATGAAGAGTAACAATATTTTTGTCTTGTGTAGCTCTTAATCAATTCAATTAAAAGAATATATACACTATATTGAATTTGTAAAATTCATATGAATAACAAGAATAATACTTCATTATATAATGTTATTTTAACGGCCAATATGTTATTTAAAATATAAATAAATATCCTTTGTTAACTAATTCAATAGTTAAATATGTTAAAAGTAGTGTGTAAGTACAATTTGACACAGATTGAAGTTTGAGCATATTACAGGTTGAATTAAGGGAATTTTTTTTCCAGAAAATTTCGTTAATTTTCTACCGCAATAAATATTGAAAAATAAAAATTATTTATTTATTTTGAGAGAAAAAGTGTACCAAAAAAATCATTAATGATGTTCAGAAATATATAATTAGAAATTTTAATCAAATAATAGAAAAAAATAATAGAAAATTTAAAATGATTAATAAAAGAATAAAAAATAGAATGACAGCTGTGGGATTTGAACCCACGCCCTTTCGGACCAGAGCCTAAATCTGGCGCCTTAGACCACTCGGCCAAACTGTCAGATATTTACTAGCAGACATAACATAATATCTATTTACAAAAAGTAAAGAATATTTTTTCATAAAGTTATATTATTATATGTTTTATCAATAATTAATTTCCATCAGAAAACTGGAATATTAATTTTTAATCATGTTTTTTTATACATAAAACTTAACAGAATAAAATAGAATACAAACTTTTATGCGATAGTAATTTCTGTCATTTCACTTGAATGCTAATTTTTTGTCAAATTACATTTTATATTTTTAATGTGACCTTCCACTTTTAGTTTTCATCTTAAATATAATGTGGAGCCTATTCGTGCAAAATCGAAACATTGATAAACAAGATAGAAAATTTTCAACGGACTTTCTTCAATTCAGATTATTTTGAAGAAAAAATAACTTCTCTCAAACAAATTTTCTAGAGTTGTTAAAAAACAAATTGTTTCCTAAAATAAAACTTACCCCAAACAAAACAACACTAAATTACATTTCTATCAAACATAGTTTAGTTGCAACACTAAAATGCTGAATTATATAAACCTTCTTCCATGGCACAAACAATTTTACATTTAAAAAGTAATTAGTGAATAAGTGTCTGCTGTTTATTGTTAGATGGAAGAAGGACTGTACTAATGACAAGAAGCAGTATTGTTCTTAACGAATTTCACCAATATTTGCCTGATGCAAATAATAATGCTAAATTTGGAGAAGGGAATTTTGAAGATGGTGTAAATATTTTTGAATACTTTCAGAGGAACAAAAACACACAAGTCCTCAAATCATGTAAAGTGTTAGTCAAATGGATCAATACGCAGGTCGTGTTCACTTGCCATCATCATGCCAGTGCAAAGGCAAGAGGGACACATAACCTACAAGATAGGTAAGATGATTAGTTATTAGTTAAAGACTTCTTATTCACAATTAAGATTAATTGGTTGCAAAGTTAACTTCAAGCATGCAACGATATTTATGATGTACCTTTCCTGCACCAGAGCAATTTGGACACCTTCTGGTCGTAGGAGCATGCAGAGGTCTGGCAGAAGCTCTAGATACTGATATAGGATCAATGTTCAAGCTTACACCACTTGCAGAACAGCGAGCACAGGCCAAGTATCCTATCATAAGGGACACAGCTTTTGACATAAGAATCAGATATAACAAAATGATTTGAGCAGGCCATAAATAGAGCTACAGAACTCTGATTTGAGCAAACTTGATGGTTATGGAAAGACAAGACAAAGAGCTAGAGTTTTGTTTCTCACAAGTTCAGGCCAATTCACACTCTTTTAGAATCAAAATCCCACTACAAATTTTGGCCTCTACAGCGCAGTTTTTGGACATTCATTTATGATTCAAGAACTGGTCTAGTCTGATATATTTTAGATACAAAATAGATCCTATTTATTCTGCTTTTATGTGTTTTGAACACTCATTATCTATCATGTGCATGGTTGAGATATATCAAAATGAAAATATTAAGAGTAGGAACATACCAGTTCCATGGCAGTAATTGCACTTTTTGTTCTCTTGTTGCTCAACATTGTTAGCCTCAATCAACATCAGGACTGAAATAACACCAACTGCCCCACCTGAAAAGGACGCCACAATTGGATCGACCTGACTGGTTTCATGAAGCACGTAATTGTAATAAGGTATTAGCTTTAGCAAGTATGCTATTCATCAACAGAACAATTGAAAGTTAATGATGCACACAATTGAAAGAACAGTCTACCTTAGTTGCCTAGGCAAATGCATGTTTCTTATGAAATCTTCGTATGAGGTACCACCCAAACCTAATTTTAGCTCCAGCTGTAAAAAACATAAAGGTTTAATGTTTGAGATGAAAATAGGTCATGATCATGACCTACCAAAGTGAACAAAGACAACATAAAATACTACCATAGTGACTAAAAGTACTTTCATCAGACCACTTCATGTATGCGTCCACTCTTAACTCTGCTTCTTTCATGGACCATTTCATCAAAGTTGTACTATTTTAAAAATCTAGGTTTTATACTACATGAATGAATAAACTGTCTATAGCATAAAGGAAGTTGAGAGCCACATATCTACAATCATTTGCTTTTAGGAAGAAAGTATCTTAAATTCAAATAATCAGCCTATTTAAACTTACCCCTGAAGATTCAAATTATCACAACAAAAGAATGTTTTCTCAAGGTTTGATTGTATTATTTATTGATTAAGAAAAAGAAAAATCCCCCAGCATTGAATTTTCTATATTAATATAGATATCCGTTGAATTTCTGTAATGGAAATGGTTTCCTCTGTCATGGTCTAAATCAATGACCTTTTGTTATCCACACTCAGAATTTCCTTCCCAATTAAGATGAAAAGAAGCAATTCTGGAGAACAGAATGGTTCTTGTGCAGATGATAGAAGTACTTTACTTTTATTTTATTTAGTTAGACAATAGAAAAGGTAGAAGCCATCAATTCCAAATTAAATTCAACCTAGAAATACACTACTGAGTATAGTCTGTAGAATTAAAACATGTACCAAACTATAGCAGGATACACAATACATTAAGTATGTAAAGACATGTTCAAGAAACAATGGTACCCAAAGATCAATTGTGGAATTTGACAATGAGGGCCAGTTTAAATTGAACATTGGTGATCCCTTGAGGGTAGGTAACAAAGGAGGTTAAATCCTGTTATTTTATCCACAATGGACTGAAAAAGAATTAAACAGAGAGCAATAAAATTACCGTTGGTGCAATAAGCCCACCGAATACAATTATTGCAGATATGAATGATATGCTAGTCAGATAGAGCTTCTTCAAAGTCTTGGGCGTCTATTTCAGTAGGAAAAGCACACGGTTAGGAAGATAAAAAAACTGAAAAATGCACCAGCATTATTTCTACTGCATCAAACATTTGATGGAGAAACAAATGAAAGTTATTAAAGACAGCTTTAAGAAAATGATCTCACACAAATGATTTTACAACAATTGTGAAACACCTTGGTGTATCATCCTTTGCCAGGATGAGTAACAAAATGTTTAGACTATGACACATCAAGTTTATTCAGTACTTCCAAACTAATTATGATTAGTCACTTATCAGAATCACTTTGCAATATGTTTCCCTCCAAATACCACCAATCCATAAGGGAAGGGATAATTCAGTCAATGCTGCAATGTAATCAAAGCAAGGCTATGAGACTCACCACATGAGGAAGAAAAGGAATTGATGATGGAATATCCGGCATCTCATTTGCTTCCTCCTCTCCCTCTTCATTGACAACTTTTTGTACTCTTCTTATGCGCTGCTGCACACGTAATCTCCTTACCTTCCATAATCAATACAACAACAGCAGAAGTTATATCACACACTACTGTGCATCACACCATACCCATTCAGCTTAATGATTGACCAAGTAAAGTGCAGGTTTGAATAAACTTCTTCGGAAACACTTAAGAAAAATTTAAAAACACTTTTTATAAGTTAAATATAATTCATCCATAAATTAAACATTTGTCTTCAACGAAATTAAGAAGAGAAAACTTCAATAAATTAGTACTTACAAACTAATTTTATCTTATACAAGGCTTTTATTTTTCACACATAGAAGTGCTTGGGGTGAATTTTATCCAAATACACCCCAAATCTTCAAATATAAGCTAACCTCTTCCATAAGAAGAAATATTTTATTGCGCCTGCTCTTTATGTTGTCTTGAATTTCCTGCAGCTGCATCTGAACAAAATCCTCAACCGTCTCTGGCCCCTCAATAATGCAAAAGTTGCTGGCAAAACAAAAATTTAGAGAAAAAAAAATGTACTTTTTACTCAAACCAACAGCAAAATTTCACATTTCAACAAACCCAAAAGCCAAAATAATGAGTAAAGAAAGACCAACGACAATTCAAACTCTTATGAGTTGCAAACAACCTTGGTGTGTTGTCAGGAGAGCCTGCATCCTTTGAAGAAGAGCAGACAGTTATCCGTGGTTGCAATTGCAAGAGATCTGTGGCTTTGAAAAAAGTGAATTGCTTGGTTTTTCCTTTGCAGGGCCCCCAGAAAATAGAGTTCTTGGTGGATGAGGAAGGAGGAGGAATTGCGGAGGAAAAGACATGAGAGTAGAGAGAAGAAGTTGTCATTGTATTGAGTTTGAGTTCTTGGAATGGAAGAAGCGAAAGTTGTTAATGGGTTTTAGAGTTGAAAGGGTGCATGAATGGTGGCAAAGTGATAGAGTTCCACCGAACATGTCAAGCTAAGACTCTGGTTGCAACAGAAATGAATGGATTGTGTGTTTGGTAATTTATATATTCACCATCTACTGTAGAATATATATATATATATATATATATATATATATATATATATATATATATATATATCATAATTATTATTATATTGATAAAAGTAATGATCATCTATTCCATTTCTAACTGTTAAATTATTATTTTTCTAACTATTATGAAAAACATGTTTGAATGAAAAATTGGAAGTAGAGAAAATAAATTGTACCATTTGTTTTTATTAGAAGTAAAATTTTAATTAAAATTTATTATAATTTTAACTAAAAATTATAGATAGACTCCTAAAAATGTAAAATTACATATAAGATAAAATAATAGAGATAAGTACTTGTTAAATATTTAAAAATAATATATATATATATATATATATATATATATATATATATATATATTTTTAATGCGTAATATGGATATTTTATTGTGTTGAAAGGAAACGTGTAATGCTGAAACAAAAAAGCAGTATGCAAATAACATTGAGTGCAAGGAAAAAAAAATAAAAAAAATGATATTGTGAAATATTTACTTTTAATTTACAGTAAATGATTATTTTATACTATCATTTAATAAAATATTTTATTCTTACTACAAAAGTTTATGGTAAATGTTACTTCTAGACTGGAACGTGAACGGATGAAATAAGACTTTTTTAAGTTTTACTGTAACAAAAATAATTGTTCTTATTTATTTTAATTATATAATTTGACATAATTGAGTTAAATATATATATATATATATATATATATATATAAAATTATTTTGAAAAATTAATAAAGTATTTGATAAAGACCTCCTCCAGTACATTTAACACTTTACTCGTATAAATAAGAATATAATTTTAAAATTAATATGAATTATTTTAAAACCTAACTTTTTACTCATATTATTATCATTTATAAAAATTATCGTAATTATTTTCAGATAATTTCTAATAATATTACATAAAAAACTAATAATTTTGTTATTGAAATATAATATATTTATAATTTTTTTATTTGACTGTATTTTTTATATGATTTAATATTAACAAAATTTTACGTTTAATATAATATTAAGTAATTATTTTTTATAAATTTATAAAAGCACATTTGAGGTTGCAGGGTTTTTATCTACGATTTATTAATGTAAGTTAAATTTGCTATTGTTATTAAATTATAATATAAAATATATTTATATTAAATTTATGGTGTCTATATTGATAAAACTGATAAAACTATAATATTATTTAATGAAACATATACACATAATATATATATATATATATATATATATATATAATCATTAAAAAATAATATAAAAAGTACCATAATTACTTAAAAATAAATTTTATTATTTATTGATTAAATATAGTTTTAAATTTATAAATATTCAATGATTTAATCTTATAAAATACATTTGAATAATATCATAAATGTCACATTTTTTTTAAGTATTTATTACAACTTGTAAATTTATTGATTTGATTTAAACACACACATGAATGATAATTTTAACTTTAAATGTACTGTTTATATTTATAATTAATGCTTATTTATTTATTTTAATCTATTATTATTATTATTATTATTATTATTATTATTATTCAAATAAGTATTGCAACATATAGGGATTTTTTATTAGAATTTTTTTCTAAAAAAGATCATTAAATTAAAAAGAAAAACGAAGATGTCAGAAATTTTATTTATAATGTAGGGAAGAAAAACAAATACAAATAATTTTGCTATAAAAAAGATTACCTTTTATACCAATTAAGAGTTTTGAGTTTTTTTCTCATAGAAGAACAGAAATACTAAGTAATATATCTAAACATAAAAAGGAGTGAATTTATATAGTCGTAAGATCTAGAAGACAGAAAAAACCTGCAAATGGTTGTGGCAACTTAAACAGATGAGTAAACATAATATGGAGGAAACAAACTGGAATAAAAATGTATATACATCAAATTCAAACGTACAGTGAACTTTTTGGTTGAAAAGTCAGAAACGAACAAAATATTCAGAATCTGGCGATTTCAACAGACTTCTGAAGAGCTTGAAGAAGGCTTCTCATTATTCTGGGCTCACCGGGTGGTACCTTATCTTTCAAAGGACCATTTCTAATGGCACGAAAAATGGGAGCAGAATTTTCAGTTGCTGGAGAAACCAAGCAATCGATATACACAAGAACTTCAGTTTTCCCATCCCCAATGGTGATAAAACCCAACCTAGCTCCACCAGCTATTTTGTCCACCTGTTTATTCAAAATGAAGATTATTACATACCAACTGAACCAGTTATGAGAAAGACTCAATCACTCAAAAAGACAAAATGTTAACAGTTTAGCAGAGCTGTGTTTTACATGATGAGACAACCAAGTGACACAGAGCGAACCCCACAAACCTTGAGAGGCACGGGAAGAGGAAGATTGGCTCCCTGGCTAAGGCTGTTTGCCCACTGTCACAATACAACCACAAACCATTTGAAGGTTTAAAACAGCGTAAGAAACAAAAAAGTAAGTAACCACGTAAGTCCCAATAATAACTTCATCAAGCCACTAATACTATGCTTAATATTCATTTGAACTGATTCAGAATTTCATATATTTCCCACTCCTTACAAATAAAATCAATTTATTTTCATTACCTCATACTTGTATTTGTTCGTTTTAGATCCTTCTACCCTTAAAAAGTTATATTATTATTATTATATTAAAAATTTTAGAACATATAAGGAACTAAATCAATCATATAAATTTGAAATCTATTTATATATAAAGAAATTCTCTTATTCTTATATAAGATATATAAATTTACCTTTTATTTTTACTATTTATTTTATTAAAATCTAATAATAAAACAATAACTCTTCATAATTATTAAATAAATAATAATAATAATAATAATAATAATGAATAATAAATTTTTAATTTTTATTTTTAAAATAAGTGAATTTTCTTTATGTATCTTTTATATATATAAAATAATTCTCATAGAGAAAATGTCAATTTAAACTCAGAATTGAAAATCCAACTTCATGTAATGAGCTACTTTTATATATATATATATATATATATATATATATATATATATATATATATATATATAATAATAATAATAATAATAATAATAATAATAATAATAATAATTCTCACAGAGAAAATATCAATTTAAATTCATAATTGAAAATCCAACTTCATGTAACATAACATGAGCTACTTCCTCAATTTTTGAGCTTCTTTATTAATTAGTAAGCATTAACTTGAAGTAAAAGGGGTTAAATAAATATAGTTAGAAAAAAATATTTTGCTAATAGATGATATCATGTCCAACAGTATCTTAAATGGATTTTGTTTATTAACATACTTAAATAAGGAAATAATTATTTAAAATAATTTTCTATATAAAAAAATTCTTTATGGTATAATAAGTGTTTAAATTTTTTTATATCAAAAGAGAATAAAAAGAATTTTTTTTTTAATTTATTAATTTTTTTTAATGAAATAAAATCAACCGTGACTTGTTTAAAAATAACGTGATATCATAAATATCTATTTGATATTAATAAAAAATAAACTCACGTGAGACTTGTTTGTAAAGGTACTAGATAAATAGTCTACATGCATGCATAATTGAAGAAAAAAATAAATAATTATTTTATATTGGTTCGCTCTAATTAAATTATACCCCTGCAGTTCTTTTGAATAAACTCATAAAAAATTTCGTTGTAATCAATCACTTCTAACTTATGAATATATAATATAACTCTTGACAAATTCTCTTTACTTTTTCATTAGATAAATAATATTGAACATTCTTTTATCAGTAGGTTGTTTCTATTTTTTTAATATTCTTTAATCTTGGTTATAAATAAAAAGGTCAAATATATGTTGACCAAGGAAGAATTTACAAAAGTGTTTTCTCAATATTATTATGTTTGGTAGACTTTCTAGTGGTGTTCTTAGAATTTGTCATGTAGAGGTTTATTAGCATGCAGAGTAACTGATATCGTTATTACGTGACTTCATCATTAAGGATGTACAAATTAACCGTTGTGATGTCACGTATTTGTCTTACTTTTCAGGCTTTACTACATTTATGTGGGTACATGATATTAACATAAAATAATTTCAAACTAATCTTTGTTTCTATTTTTTTTTTGAGTTTATTATTGTATTTCTTTGTACAAAACTAGTAGGTATAAAAATGTGTATCTATCAGCCTTAGAGCAAGCAAGTATGATATTATAAGTAATATTTTTAAAATCAGACCGCTTATTAATTCAGTGAAGTAATGAGTTTGGAATTTAAAGATTTAATAGCAGTTTAACTGGATTTAATCTTATTTAATAAAATAATATTTTTATAAAAAAAGAAAAATAATAAAAATTACTTTTATAGTTACCATAAATTATAATGTATATTATAAATATAAAATATATTAGAAAATAAAAGATAAATAATTATTAAAATTAGATAAAAATATAATAAAATAATTATTATTTAGAGATGATATAATTAATATGAAATAAAAAAAACTCCTATATATTATATTTTTTATAAAAAAAGTATATTAAAAAAATTGATCTTTTACCTTTTTTTTATCAAAATTTGTTCGATCCAACAACCAAGCCGGTTTTACATGTTTAATTAAAATCCAGTTAAACAATGAACTGATTTTTAGTACAATTCTTGATTTAACCAATTGAACTTGTCAGTATGATCCAATTTAGAAAACATTGGATGTTGTTGCGATTGTTAGGTTAGAACACAAAGTACATTTCCCAGACCTTTGGAAGAGAAATAAAAGAATAGTTTTGTTATTTATCGAACCGCTTCTGTAAAATTACGATTATTGCTTAGTTTATTGTTGGATCGACCTGACAACAAGTTTATGGCGTAAGGGTCTTCATTTTGACTGTTGGGATCGTCAATTGGAGATATGTGATTAGAGATATCGGTCTTGCATTGTGGCTGATTTTAGGTTTCTTTTCTTTATTCTTCAAATTTGCGATTTTGTAGACACTTATTTGTACATTTTGATTTGACTCTCTTGTACTCGTACTTTTGATCTTAGTGGGTTCTTACTCCTGGCTTGTACCCATGAGTTTTTACTCCTGGCTTGTGCCTGTGGATTTTTACTCCTAACTTGTGCCCGTGTGTTTTTACTCCTGGCTTGTGCCCATGTGTTTTTACTCCTCAATGCCTCAATACTAGACTGGCTTGTGCCCGTGTATTTTTACTTCTCATATTGAGGAGGTTTTCCCATGTTAAAAATATTGGTGTTCTCTATTGTGATTATTATTTATGTCATTGTTGCTCCTCACATATTCTTGCTAATTTAGGAAATTTATTTCCACTGCATAACTTGGTATTTTAGGTTATGTTGTTTCAAAGCCGATGGTTCATGTGGTAACCGACTCGGCTGGGTATTATTAAGAATAGGTGAAAGATCACTATAGATCCTTGCGTTGAAAGTCTTCCTGACATGAGTTTCAGGCAAACACACGATTGAGTACTATTAGGAGTAAGTGAAAGATTTTATATTATGGATCCTTGTGTCGAAAGTCTTCCTGACATGGGTTTGAGTTTCAAGTAAGCAAGTCTCGTTGAGTTAAACGACGGTACAAGTAAGGTCACTACTAGGTACTCTTGGTTAAGAAATATTTTCGCTCGAGGGGGAGGTATACTAATGTGAAAGGGAATCACACTTGAGAGGGAGATTGTTGAGAATTTAAGTATGTTTGAGGTCTCACATTGGGTAAAAATGAGAAAGTTGAATAACTTATAAGTGAGAAAGACCCATAACCTAATGTCTTAAGGTTTTGGGTTGAGAGTGATGTCATATTCTCTTATATGGTTGACTCGTGCCTCATTTGTGAGAATCTCTCTATTGTTCTCTCCCTTGAAAATACCTAACACAATGGGTGCTGATATGATGACTAAGACATTGGTTTGAGCTCTCAACTATGTGTTTAAAAAGTTCAAATTAGTTAAACTCATTGGTGTTGATATGATAACTAAGACATTAGGTTGGACTCCCAACCATGTGTCTAAAAAATCCAAATTAGTCAAGTTCATTAGTGCTGATATGATGACTAAGACATTAAGTTAGACTTTCAATTATATGTCTAAAAAGTCCAAATTAGTCAAGCTCATTGGTGTTGATATAACGAGTAAGACATTGGGTTAAACTCCCAATTATGTGTCTAAAAAATTCAAATGAGTCAAGTTCATTGGTGCTAATATGATGACTAAGACCAAATTAGTCAAATTATTTACCACACCGTTGGATCGAGTCAAGTCCATTTTATCTCACTTAAGGGGTCTAATTTACCGCACTGTTGGATCGAGTTAAGCTCATTTTATCTCACTTAAGGGGTCTGCTAGGTTAGAACAGAATCTACATTCTGTTGGAAGAAAAAAAAAAAAAAAACTTATTGGATCAAACTAAAATTTTGACAGCAGGTTTGCAACGTAATTGATTAGAGATATTGCTTTCAAAGTCTAATTTACTACACCGTTGAATCGAATCAAGCCCATTTTATCTCACTTAAGAGATTGACTAGGTTATAACAAAGTCTACATTTTGTAGGTTGTTGGAAGAAAAAAAGAAAAGAAAAAAGAAACAGTTTCGCTTATTGAATCGAACTAAAATTTTGCTAAAATTTTGATAGCAAGTTCGCAGCATAATTGGTTAGAGATATCGCTCTCACACTATGTTGATTACAAGTTTCTTTTTTTTGTTCTTCAAATTTGAGAACATTGTTATTGTTGTTTTGATATATTGGTAGTTTTGTAGGCACTTATTAGTGTCGATTCCCGACAAGCGAGGCTCAAGGTTCATTGGGCGGGGTTGCGATGCCTCGGACTCGATGCTCCGAGGGTGAGGCGACGATGGGTGGCAAGAGGAGGTGAATGGAGGTTTTTCCCTCTTTGCAGAAAAAGAACATTTTATCGTCCTAGACAACGCCAAATATTGTTGCAAAATATTATTACTTGTCTTCCTTTCATAAAGATTGTTATAATCTTGTATTTATACTTAATATATTTGATCGAACACTTCTAAAGTATTTATTTAGAGTCTAAATATCTAGAATTTATACAACTCCTTATATGTCTGATTTATTACATCAGTTATATAATGGATCAAGCTACTTGGATACTATACCAATTATATATTGGGTCTAAAACATGAGAATTATAAATATGAAAAGGTGAAAACTTTTTAAAGAATAAGAAATCATATTTGTAAATATACTAATAAATATATTTAATAATCATTAAATTTAAAATTTAAAATCATAAACAATAATATAACTCGAAATAAAAAAATTCCATTCATTTTTTTTAAGTTAAATAAAACCTCTTGATTTAGTTAGTTACTCGTGTAATTTTTTTCATCTAAAAATGTTACAGTTTCAAACTTTCGGACTAGTTTGCAAATCTGAGTATAAACGGGAAAAGTATATGGATTTCATGAAAATTGTCTAAAATTAAGATTCGCATACTTAACGTACCGGTCTAAAGTCTTATCGGAAAGATATCCTAACTTGTGTTATATGTTATATACTGACACTCCTATTTGGACTATTGTGTGAGATGCATAGTTATTTGTTCTTAAAACAATGTTGTGTTGAAAGAATTGTTACAATAACGAAATGGTCGTTTACCTGAAAGAGCAAGGAATCGAATCTCTGAAGGTCAGTGTCCAAAGGCAGCTTCATGGTGCCTAGAGAGACTCCGTCGTCGGTAGGGCCGTCGTTCCTCACCGAGGCTTTGGGTAACGTCGATGGCACCGCCGCCGCGAGATGAATCGAAATGCGAAGCCTTGAAAAGGAATGGCTGTTGTGGTGATTTGGGACGAGAGAAGGGGAAGACAGTGGAACGAGGAAATTAACTCCACTCACCCTTGGGTACACACTCTGCCCTATACTACAACATGCCATCGTCGCCATGCCTCCTTCACAATTCTGGGTAAAATGGAATGAGTAGTAGCTAGTTTATCCAGTGGTGGTGGTAATGATTCGTAGCATCCATCTTGTCCTCAGGTTTTAGCGACAAGATTTTTTTATTTTTATTTTTTCCAGAAAAGTAACTTATAATATTTTAGCTTTTAAAATTATAAATATTTGCTACATTTAAAAGTAAAACAGAAATAATAGTTATCACTGATTTGGAAATTATACGGATGCAACTAATTTATCTAACAACGGGTGTAGAAATCAATTTATTATTTTAAAAAAAATTATTTTTTTATTAAATTAAAATAAAATAAAAAATCGGGATAAAATTAAAAAAATTGACTAATTTTAATAAAAAATTAAATTAAAATTTTTAATATTTTTTTATAAAAAATATTATTTTATTTTATTTTATTTTACATTAGTTACATTAATTTTAAATAATAATTATTTTATTATATTTTAATCATATTTTAATAATGATCTATTTTACATTCTTTAATATATTTTACATATATAATTTTGTAAGTAATTTTTATTATTTTTTATAAAAATATTATTATTATCTAATTTATTAAATTATAAAAATATTATTTATTAAATCTGGTTGAAAATAAACATTCACCATGTTTAATTTAAATCTAAATTCAAAGTGGATTTCATATTTTTAATTTGTATTCTTTTTCTTAAACTAATCATTTAGTAATGGATTCGCTTTTTTCAAATTATTTTTTTATCAAAAATCATTATTAAGAAAAGCTAACGAAGATAAAATATAAGTTTTTGTTTTGAATCTTTAAATATATATTTTTTTATTAATTTAGTTATCGATATGATTTTAAAAACATATATAATTAAATTTTGTACGGAAATATTTTGTTTAGAGTGCAGCGACAATTAATTAAAGAAAAAGAGCGAAAACAGTTAAAATAGGGCGAAAAAAGAATTAAATTTTCAGCTATGTGCGAGCGGTTACCCAGTAATCAGCGATAACGTTACAATTACAACCTATATACAAAACATGAGTCTAGTACGATAAATAACACTGATTTTTTTGAACCAGTTAATGGTTTTGACATAACTCTATTGTTTTGTTTTATGGATGGAACAAACTAACGATGGAAGGCAATGACATTCGCACGAGACTACATATTTTGGTTCATGCATCACATTATAGTTTAATAAAACCATATTTTTGTTTCGATAAATCTCAATCAATTTTATGGACATAATAAATACATTTTAACTTTCAGTAAAAAATGTGTAAGTGTGTATTGAGAGCTCTGCCTTCCATTCCAACAACAATAATCAATTCTATGCAAGATTAATTGGATTTATGTAATTTCTTAAATCAAAAGCTTGTGCAAAATAATAAACAACTCTCTTTTGTGCTTGTAAATCCGTTGTTACTATATCCGACAGAGAAAGATAGAGAGATCGCAGCAGCAACAAAATACAAAATAAATGTGCGGATAAGTAACCTTTACTCCATTTGTACAAAATCGACCAGAAAGAAAAAGCACAACTTTTGCATAATAATAATTCTTCCAAAGCTCTTTTACAAAACAAGAGCTGCTACCTGTGTCTGCCATACCCTAGCCCCTGTAACACCCATGAAAGAGTACTTTATCTATGTCTATAGAACTCATTGATTAATTCTCTACGAGGGAGGAACATGCTTCCAGTTTCGGAAGCAAACTCCGCCACGCGTCTGCAATACCATTTGCAAGACGTGCCTGACCTTTGGCAAATTCATGGAAAGCAATCCCCATATCTAATGTTTTCTGTTCCTGAAAACGCTCCATCTCTTGATTCATTAGTTTCACAATCGTCTCAAATGTCTTTGTTGCCTGTTCACTCTCTGCTTTTAACTGCATGGCAAAATAATGTCGGTCCAGTAAAAAAAAATTGCAAATGTATAATTCTCAATAGTGGAAGTTAATATTCCTACAAACTTGCCTCTTTATATTCATGCTCAGCTTCTGCAACTTTATCAGATCGAATCAGCATGAGCTTGTCACTGCATTGCAAACATATATATCAGAATACATGACGCAAATAAGCCTTTTATTTGCATTCGCATATGCAGAAAATAGTTTTTATCCAGGAAAAAGAACTTAGCCATAGAATGATATTTATATTATTCTGCACTAAAAATTAAATAAGGCAAAAAATAAAAACAGGGAACCAGGAGTATACAGGTTAATCTCCTTTAGCTTCATTGTTTCAGCCAGTTCACATTGTCTTCTGAAGGCGCTCGCCCTCTCTGCTATTGTTGCCTGTTTCAGAATGTGAGACAAATGCTTTAGATAGAAGTAAATAAATAAACTAACTGGTAATATTAATTAAGTTAGACAAATTAATAGATTGAACTCACGGACTACCTTAATAGATTGTACAGCACGGACATAATCCTTCAAAGGTTCTTCAAAATTCATCAAGAGCTGATGAGCCTGTCATAGTAGGTAGGATAGTTTGTTTCAGTTTCATCCATCAACAATATGTATATACCGTCATCATGCAAACATAAATATATGAATAACCAGTGAAATAATGTGCAACAGCAAACACGTGACAATTACCTCCTTTTGCAGCTTGGCTGATAAAATCTCTGACTTCATCCCAAGTTCAGAAAATGCTTTCCCAAGAGCATTTCCTTCAGAAGCACCCAGAAGTTTTACTGCTTTTCCAAAATCAGACAGTGATTGTCCCAACTCTGCATGAACATTATGAATTAATATTGTCACAAGAGTGGATAAGAAGAGCACAAAATTTTAAACCAGAAAGTAGACCATCATACAAATCATACAAAAATCTTAAATTCAGTCATACCTCTGTGCCTCTTGACAAGACGGTATGCATGCTTTTGAGCTTCAGACAAGTGGTTTTCGAGCTCAAAGATGTAATGTTTCATCTTTTCATACTCAGGATCTGTTTCTTCTACGGGCTTCTCTTTTCCAAGGACAACATCACTCACTTTAGATTGCACATCCTGTCAAAATTCACATAAACAACAAATAAGAAACCTGGATGGACAATAATAACCACATAGATTAGCAAAAGCTAATGTCTAGAATAGAGGGCAATTTCAATCTGAGAGCTTGTTTACACGAACATATTCATATCCAAGGAAATGATATGAGCGAAATACTAAAGTGGCAGAATTTCACAATAATTTAGCAAAAATGAAACTATCAAGTACAGAACTGTGTTTCCAGGAGAAAGCTAAAAACAGGTAATCTACAAGTTCATTGCTCTATTCTATGGGTCTACATATAATCCATGACAAGCTGATTTGTTAAAAACCGAAGAGCATTATCGCAACAATTTCATGTCAACTAATTATCTTTGCCTGAATTTTATACTAAAAGAAGAAACTCAGTGCTACTAACAAACATTCATTTATCCTTTTTTGTGAAATCCATTCTAATAGCATACCCTTTTGATTCTAAAACAAAGATAGTTGAATATGAAACTGAATTTCTAGACTCAATAATAACTTCCTTCCACTATCCCAGACACCGCTTTGCCTTCGTAGATGTATTTTTTTATTGAATAGTTTACTTTACAAAGTCTAATTCCACACTATATCATCAGACCTTCACAATCTACTTTTCTTGAACTCTAAAACAAATACTAAGCTTATTAGTGTAGGAATTTAAATTACATTATTTTATTTCATTATTTCCAATATATTTATGCAGGCCCACATGTTGGTAGGCTACTAACAGGACAAAAAAGGCCTGATTGCTAGGTTATTTAAGGCAGGAATTTAGTGCAATTCAAATTTAAAAATTACTTATTTAACAGATTCAACATAGCAAAAAAAAAAAAAATTTAGAACATGCATTACCTTAAAAATCTGCATCAGATCGGCTGGCTTCTTCTTGAATATGCCAGTCTCGTGTGACCTTAATCGTTCCATTGTCTGCATTATATGTTTAATGAAAACAAAGTAATCTAAGCTCTTATTTTCCTTCTTAAAAGTCAAATGTGAGAAAAAAGAACAGAAATTGAGCACTTAATCATACAATATAGATACAGGCGAAAGGAAAAAAAAAAATATTAATATTACTTGCACATTCGATATTCCAGTCTCAAGTATGAACAGTGGTTGCAATGTACTTATAGATTCAGAAACAATAAAATATAATTAAATTTTGTTAGTATCATTCACTAACATAAGCTACAGAACATGAAATCATGCATTACTCTGTCAATTAAGGAGACTCACCGCCAGATTGAACAATTAATTTAGTCACAATGGTTAGTTTGATTAGAACATTTGGTTTGGACTAAAATACAGCGAAGTAACAGCACAATGATAGAAGCAGGAAAAAAGGAGTAGAAAGGGCAACAAAGCAAATCACATCTAAAATTGACAGCTCCACAAAGGAATAAAGTCTACTGAGAGTGAGTCATCACCTCTTCTTCTGCCTGCAAAAACAACCGCAGGTCCTCACTTTGTTGAAGTTCACAGTGTGATGCTATCCTATTTACAAATACATCCAATGCTTGCCGCCTCATTTCAATAAATTCAGCACTGAAACGAAATTTCTCTGCAATAACAAACCAAAAGTCGAGCCCAAATAGAATTTTAGATGACAACAATTACAACTTTCCATTGAATAAAATTAAAATCAAAATGCAAACGTTTATGACAAGAATTTTGGATGACTATCAACATTCAACAACAATAATATTAAGTCTAAAATATGTCATAACCAAAATGCACGGTTTCTCAAAGACCTCAATCAGCTTAACTACCCATTATCAATGATGAAAGTCTCATTCTAATTGAACCATCAACTAAATGCACTCTTAATCTTGTCAAAGACATTCCAGATCACACAAAAGATATTTATTTAAATTCTGAAAGAAATATTTTTACTAAAACATATCAAACAGGAGGCTCAAATTACTAATTTAGGCTACTAAGCTCCACGAGAAACCTAAGATCATGGAAAATAGACAAAGTAAAGCAGATGACTATAAGTCTCCAAAATTAATTCTTAATCAAAGTAAACCTATGATAATATTTTTTGTTCGAACATCTGAAAAGCAGTGTAGAAAAACAGCAGTTTTACTCACTCAAATTGTTTTCGTTACAATAAATGGAAAAGACAACATTACTTTCAAAAGCTAACTAAGCAGGAAGTCAGGAAGATGGAGTGTTGAACAAATATTAAGGCAGCATTAGGTACATATTTCAATGATAGCAGCTACTTTCAAACTATTACTAAACACACAATGGCATTAGCATACACAAGATGTTACCTACAGCACTTTTCTCTGGAAGAGGGGGAATGAAAATGCCTTTGTACTTCTCAAAAAGGCGATCACGTAACCAGACAAAGTCACTGTAACGTCGGATGACAATCTTCTCAGGTCCTTGGTATTCAGGGAAATTTGTCTGCCAATTTGTTTCAGGTGGTTAGATGATGAAATGGTAGATGTTTAAAGTTACACATCTTCCCATGTGTATTATAGTGGTGGTAGAAAAGAAAAACTAAAACCCATAAGAAAAAGAATATCTTTCCACCGAAAATAAGGGAGTAATAATCAAGGGTCTAACTAATGAGTGCCCTTGGAAACATCGGTTGAGTTACCCAAGCCCACCAAGAAAAATGTTTGCCTGCGAGTTGACAAGATATATGTTTCTTGTAAAACTTATCCGGTTTTAAACATTTACTCGTGAGGTTGACAATATAGTTTGTGTACATGTTCCCATATAATAAATGCCCTGTCTCCACTCAAACAACTATATTTTGTTTCCTTAATTCCTATAGGATTAAAAGTTTATAAATACCTGCCCGATGAATTTCATACAGATCATTTAAAGTAAACATTTACAAACTAGTAGACTTAGCAAAATAAAAATCAAAGTGACATCACATTTAGAATAATAAGATTTTGAGACATGATTTCAGCTTATAAAATATTGTCCATTATCATAAAGCATTAAACCATCTCTGCTTCTACAAGACCATGAGCAATTTTTTTTTTTTTCCTCAAGGTCTTTGTTCCATTCACTACAACAAGCAGCAATCAAGCTCAAGCTCATATCATAAACCAACAAGCACATTCCCTCTCCATTCATAATCACAACTGTTCTAGCCGTTTCCCCTGGACCATGCATTTAGAGCCCATCCACAAACCTTTGGAATGTTCTACCGTACCCATGATTTGGAATGCATTCTACTGATGAACACGGCCATTATTCGCACTTCAATGATGGACACTTGCTCACACAGATAATACGGAAGGGTAAGAATGAAATGATCCCTATTAAAGGTGGTATATTACTCAAAATTCTTTCATTCTCACCTCCAATGGAGACTTCCAATTGGCTTACGTGTCCAAATGCCTTTTCCTAATACCCAACCTTGTGCTAAAAACAGTTCAACACGACAGTATCAGAGACTGCAACCAGTTATAGGGAGAAGAGGAGAAACTCTATGAACTACCCTGAACAGAAACAGGAGAATGGACAATATCAACCAATGCACAAATGAACATCTCAATTCACTAGAGCCATCCAACAAATTTCTGCTCTAACTAATTTCTCTAAATCACAATACCTCGGAAACAGATCACAATATAACTACAATCATCAAAACCAATCGATTAATCCTGAAAACATGATCACGGCACGATTATCGATACATCGAATCACCCTAAAAACCCTCCCAAACTAATCCTCTCATCCCTCAGCGGAATCAATCACACAAAACCCCGAGGTTCCACGATCTCGGCTTCTACACTCTTCAAAAGTAGCAACGCAGTCGAAGTTGAGTTCAAGAGAAACTCCAACGACATCCACCAACACGAAAATCAAAGCTCGACTTAGATTTAGCAAAAAAATTCCAAAAGAAAAGTAAAATAAAATAAACAATAAATAAATAACGCGAAGTGAAAAATAAAATAAAATAAAAAATCAGGTGAATGATTGAAATACTTTGGTTATGACGCGGTAGGAGATGTAGGCTTGGACGCCATTGCCGAGCTTTACGGGATCGGTGACGGAGACGGAGAGAAAAGGTTGCGACGAGGACGGAGATCTAGGGCTCTGCGAAGAACCGGAGAGAGTTCTCTGCTGTTCCATACCGCAAAGTAACCGTCAACATACAAACACAAGAAGAAAAAGATTGAGCGGGATGAAAAATATAAAGAAGAAGGCTGTGCGAGCAGTCTCTCTATTGGAGAGGGGGCAGAACTGTAATTACCGAGGGATTCATGATCGTTTTGGGGTGAGTGTGCAGTGGCTCTTCCACGGAGAACGTGGGTTGTTTGAGAGTAGAGGATGAACGAGTGGAGCTGTGAAACTGGTTTCCGTTTAGTAAACTGGCCGGTTATGCTGTTCAATGGGCCCACAGTGTGGAATACGGGGCGGATCCGTGCGGGTCAACTTGTTCTGTTTCAATGTATTCTCTATCTTTACATTAAAATAATTCTTTAAATAAAATATTGATATCATGTTTCCTCGATAGAAAATGGGATCGGACGCGGTAATTCATAGATCAGTTTAAAATTTAATTCGTTATTTTTAAAAAATTAAATTTTAATTACATCCATCAAAGGTTAGACAAATTAAAAATATATATAAAGCAGAGTGTTTATAAACAACATATTTTTATTTTAAATAGGATAAACTACGTTATGTCATTTTAAAATAATTTATATTATTTTTTATAAATACCTTTAATTGGTTATTTTTTAGACCGTTAAAAAAAATATAAATAATTCTATCATTTTTATAATTTTATAGTTATTTTGTAACATTGCTTCTACTATAAGTAACGTTCCTTAAATTTTAATAATTTTCACGGTGACATAAATCAACTCCAATCTATTTATTAAAGATATTTATATAATTAAATATAAGAATATGTTTTTATAAATAACAGGTTTTCGAAGTTAGAATTGGTTTATATTTAAACCTAATTACATAAAATTCAGCTAAATTATTCTTTTATGTAGATTAAAATATCTTTAACTAAAACAAGTAAGATGACAAATATTTAGAAAAGAGAATAATAATAATAATAATAATAATAATAATAATAGTTTTGAAAAGAAAATATTAGTTCAAGATAAACTTAACAAAAATTAAGTGATATTTAATTTATAATATAATATTTTTGAGAAATAAACGTATTCATTCCGAACTAAATCTATTATAAGGTCAATTTGAATTAGTTTGTGTTTGGTTTCAAAATAGATAGATCTATTTAATTTCATTTATATATACTATGTATAGTTAATTATTTTTATTTCGAATAATGTATGAATATATTTTTTAAATTATCTTAATCATATTTCTTACAAATATTTATAGAATTAAATATAAGGATTTTTTTTAAATAACAATGTTCAAACTTCATTAAATATTACTGTTTAGTTTTTTAATAAAAACATATATTTATAAGAATAAAATTTATTTTATTTAGATTAAAAATATCTCTAATTAAAATAAATAAGATGCTATATTTACAAACATTTAAAAAGAGAAAATATTAATAATTATATGACAGTTTTGAAAAAGAAAAAATGCAATTTTAAGATAAACTTAACAGAAATTAAATAATATTTAATTGGTGATATAATAAACGTATTTCGAAATAAATCTATTTTGGTTGGTTTTGAAATAGATCTATTTAATTGTACTTATATATGGATATGTATATTTATTTCATACAACATATAAATATTTTTTAAAATTATTTTAATCATATCTATTAAAAATATTTATAGAAAAAAATATAAGGATATTACTTTCTTAAACAACAAAAAAAAACTTTAAATATAAGTTAGAATTGGTTTATTAATGATGATTCTGCTAATCAAATATAAGATTTTTTTTTTGAATAACAACATTAAATAGCTCAACAAGTTAACATTTATTTATATTTGAACTTAGTTAAATATTAATATTTAATTATCTAATTTCAACCATATTTATTCAATGATGGAAATATATTTATAAAATTTAAAATAAGAGTATAATGTTTTCTTTTATTTAGATTAAAATATCTCTAATTGAAATAGGTAAGATGTTATATTGACAAATATTCAAAATATATAAATGTAAAAGCTACAAATACCATATATAAATTACGAAATTATGATGGTTGCAGAGAGAGTTCATAAACTATTGTATAAAAAAACATAATTCAAAAAGAAACAAAGTCAGCAAATGAGTAACAAATATTTTTCAACTATTATACCTTCTTATAAATACGAGAAAATACAAAATCAAGAAATAACGTTCAAATGATGATTTTGTGTAACAAAAATTTTCTTATTAGATAGAAAAAAAATCTTATTAACGTCAAGCTCTATAAATAAATTGTAAATTCACATTTATTAAGAGTTTTAGAAGTAAAAATGACTTAATAAAAATAATATTCTAGATCTTAAATTCAAGATTTTAAAATAACATAAATAATATTTATTGAAAATTGTTGTCAGGAATGATAATATAATTTGAAAATGACTAAAATAACCTTTATTATTTGGACTAATATACATTAGTTTATAATAAATATGTACTATCTTAAAAATAGTTTCTAAATAACTAATAATCTACTTTGCAGAAAAACAGTGAACTTTAGTAAAAACTGAAGAATATTAAAACGACACATGTAAAGTAATTGAAACAATTTTTTATCACACTCTGAATAATAACTTTATAATGAATTAATTTCAAATAATAATAAAAAATGCTTAAAAAAAGTTGTATTACTGAGTTAGTTGAACAAAATCATGCCCCGACCCGTTAAATGACAGGTTGGGGTACCCGATAGCACGTAACGGGTTAATTACGTTGGAGTTCTCGACCAATAAGGTTTTACCTCTGACGCATATGATGATGAGGTGTCACGGCAACACCTGCATTCGGTCCCGATAGAATATATATATATATATATATATATATATATATATATATATATATATATATATATATATAATTTTACTTAAATTCATATTCTTCTGGTTCATATAGTTTTATAAATGTGTAATTTCAATTTTTATAAAATTAAAAGTACAAATTTATCCTGAAATTAAGTATTTATCATAAATTAATATGATATCTAACTGTTTAAGAAAATATTACACATTTATAAGTAGTAATAATGCTGGTTATTTATTTATAACGTATTAATGATAAGTTTGATAATTAACTTTAATATATATTATTTTAATTATGTATCTATTAAACATTAACCAATATATAAACGGGGAACTATGGACTAAATTTATTTAATTTTGGTAAATCGATGAGCATATATATAATTAACATTTTACAAAAAAAAATTGACAAAAAAAAATTGTTAAATCATTTTTATTTTAATAATTTAATTTTTCCTCCATAGTTTTCTATAAATTCTTGTGAGAAACTTACAAATTTATAAACCTTTGATATTTTGACATATAAGTGGAGAAACCTATAAATCTAATATCTTTAAAGTGGAGTCATTTTTATTTTTTTTATATGGTTATCTTATCAAGTGAAACTAAAAAATTAGCTTTAGGGATCAAAATAAATAATTTTTTAGATGGATTATTATATATTTTTAATAAAATTTTAAAGAATTATTATATATTTTCTTAATAAAATTTTAAAAGATTTGTTTTGTTTTGGATTATGGTCTCGCTAGTTTCCCCTAGTGTCTCCCTTGGTAGTTGTTACTTATTATCGAGGGGGTTAATAATAGAAAGAACCTTAAGAGATTAAATTATGGGTACCTTCCAATTTATATTCAATGTGAGACTTTAACTCACATGAAAGTGTGATTCCTTTTGCATAGGTATACACCCGCTTGCTCGAAGGGGCTAATAATAGGAAGATTCTCACAAATAGGATATGAGTCAACCGTATAAGAGATTATGACATCATCTTTAACAAAAAATCTTAAGACATTAGATTATGGATTTTTTTCACTTATAAGTTACTCAACTTTCTTATTTATATCCAACGTGGGGACTTCAACTCACACTTGAATTCTCCAACCTACAAACCAAGTTTTTTTTTTCCTGTAAGTTTTATGGTTGACCAATCATTTCTCTAAGTTCACATTGAAGAAAATTAATATTTGCATCCCCGTTAACAATAACCTTTTGGATAGTGGGATCCCTAGAAAATGTTGTAAAAGCTGACAAAAACATAAACAAATTTTATTCCTGAGGCGTGTATAAACACTGCCCTTAAGGACTTATCTGCGGTGTATTGCGCAAGTCCCCCAGGATACAACATGAACTTCTCGGAATTTCTGAGGATCTAAAAAACTAATAAGAAACTCTTAAAGGAGTAAATAAACCTAGAATAATAGTAGATCAGGAAGAAAATATAGAAGAGAAGATGAGAGAGGTGTGTCTAGAAGAGTGTGAAGTGGTATCTATTTATAGGTGTAGATTGGACCCAAAACCCTAACTACCTACGTTCTCAGTAAAGTTCTCTGAAACGTTCTTAGTATCTGTAATGTTCTTATTAAAGTTCTCTGTAACGGTTGAATATAGAGGAAATAAGGTTTGAGATTAATCTCCCTTGTGTATAAACCACACATAGGGTAATCTATTTATAATAGAGAGAGGTACAACTAAAAAAGTAACCGAAAGTAAATAGAATAAACAAAAGATATTGTTTGATATTGTGGTTAACAATATCAAATAATATTTAAACAATATCTAACACTCCCCCTCAAGCTGGAGCATACAAATCGTATGTGTCAAGCTTGTTATAAATATAATCAATTCTAGGCCCTTGTAAAGACTTAGTAAAAATATTTTCTAACTGATAACTTGAGTTAACAAACTCAGTTTTGATGTCTCCAAACATAACCTTTTCTCGAATGAAATGACAGTCAATCTTAATGTGTTTGGTCCTCTCATGAAAGATAGGATTATAGTTAATATGAAGAGCAACCTGATTGTCACACACAAGTGTCATTTGAGTGACATCTCCAAATTGTAACTCTCTAATCAATTTCTTGAGCCAAACAAGTTCACAGGCAGCTGAGGCCATAACTTTATATTTTGCTTCTGCACTGGATCTTACCACAACACTCTGTTTCTTACTTTTCCATGAGATCAAGTTACCACCAA